CACACCCACTTGTTGCCCGAAGAGGACGTAGGCAAATTGGGTGGCCCCAGCTTTTCAAGGAAGTTTCCATCTCCAACTCCGGTGTCTTGCAGCACCACACTTTTATGTTCCTCCAGCTTTGCCCGTCTCATCAATCTACCCACCGCACTTCAGACACAATCGAAACCTGGTAGTAAAATGGTCTACCCAAACCAGTGTAGAGAACTACAAAGACGGCTGCACCTAGCTGAGGCTGTCCCTTCCCAACACCTGGGTGTTGATTGTGGCTCACCTTTGCAAACCAAACCTTTAAGCCTTGTTTCACCACGCGCCGATAGGAAGGCCTCTCGTTGATCTTAAGGGCGAGCGGCAAATTGTTCACTGAGCATGCAGAAATGGTACATCAATAAGCAGAAATGAGAACTGCCCCTGTTTACCAGGTTCTTGGATGTTTGGGATGGCTCTTGCTCTTCTTGTTTCCAACTTGCTCCAGAAGTTTCGTCTCTTCCCCAATCGCTGCTGTAAGCTGGGGGGAGCATCCCCGCGCCTTTGATCAACCCCCGGGTTCGCTTCGGGAGGGAGGTTTCAAGGGCCTAGATCCCCATCGGCGGATTGTAGCTTCAGTTGCTTTGGGTTGGTTGACGTTGGGTTTGGGGAGCAAAAATTCTCAAATTTCAGCAGCTAAGTGGGGATTTCAACTACTAAACTGCAATAAGCCAAAATGTAAAATGTTTCCCAACAACAACCATGTTTGGGTGCTGCAGCACGGTGGAACAAAGTCTTCTCTGTAAAGTGGACCACGGAGGCCCCATGACGCCATGACTTGTCACTCTAAAGGGGATTCCTTTGGCACAGAAATTGGGCCCTTTCGGCCCATGTTCGGCGACCGTTGGCTAAAACCCGAAACCAAGCCCAAACAAAGTCAAAGCTCCTCACATCCTCACTTACACCACTGAAAACCGGACGGTCCGCCCAAAAGCCGAAAGCGCGCCCAATGCCAAGGGTATGCACAAAGAACTCGAAACGAAAAGACCCTCCTGAAGATCAATTTCAGCTAGGTCCTCCAGTAGAGAGGCTAGAATAAGGGTACCCTTTTTTTGCAGTTTATTTTAGTAGGGGAAACCTCCCAACCAAAAAAGTTGGTGAGGAAGGGCGCCAATTGCTGGGGGACCTATTTGGTAGGGAGAGCCCACCCCCGAAAAATGGCAAAAAAGTGCACAAGGGCACGACTGGGGCACCTAGACATGTCAGCTCGGAACACACCGCGGAGGCGAGAGCTCGCTCTGTTTACGCCTGAGCTCCCCCACGGGCTCCAACAGGGTCGTGGCCCGCCCGCGCCAGCTCCGTGGAGGTGATGTTGGCCTAAGATTCCACCGCGCTTGGAGCCAGGGGATATAAATATTATATATATATATATATATATATTATAGATTGTTTTTTGTTTGTCTATATATATATATATATTATATTATTTTATATTATAATATATTATATCATATCATATTATATCATATTATATATACATATACATACATATATATATTTATATGTTATATTGTACTATACTATATTATATTATATTATATTATATATATATACATATATATATTGTATTGTATATATATATAATATAATATATGTATATGTATCTATATAATGGTCCCCCCACTCCCCCAAGATGCGCTCCCAGGCGAAAAACACAGTGTTTATTAAACAAAAAACAAGAAACAAAAGAAGAAAAAACAACTATATGCATCTATCTACAACCAATTGGAGGGCAGGGGGGTCGTGTTGCCGTACCTGTGAGAAAATTGGCGACCCCCTTTAAAAGGAATCCTGCACTACGAGGGGGTCAAACAATTTTCCATCAAAGGTGGCAAAAGACCCCCCTGATTTGAACAAGTAAGCGGCATAGATCGCAAACATTTGAAGACAGCAGGGGTACCAGAAGGGCTGTAGTTGAATTCACCAAGCTATTGAGGAAGTGAGGGACCTTCACCATGGAGCTCGTTTAATCCCTAGGTAAACAGCATGCCTCAAAGCAAGGCATATCGCCAACCATTTGACAATGCAATCCGCATTGCAGGTGAAAGCGGTGCATATCTGATGTTTCAACAAATGAAAGGGCTACTTCTCAAACCGCTTGTTCTAAAAGGAGGGGAGCAATTGCGACATTCAAGGGCAAGCACAACACCAACTCCCAAAAAGCAAACCACAAAACGGAAACAGCAACCCTGGAAAGAACATTTTGCCATCCATATTTACTGGAATTATTTTCATGATGTTGGTTAACGTTTAGAATATTTGCCTTTCTATGTTCTTATTTGTTGGAAACGGGTAGGGGTGTCAAGTTGGATCACAGCAGAACTTATTGAGATTTAGGGGTTGTGTTCTTGGGTGTGAACATTTGTTGGCACGTAGCTTGGATTTTTCGGGTGGGATTTGTTGGGGAGATGGGAGATGGTACGTAGTTCTCAATGTTGTTATTGAATAAGCGTAGGGATGAAGGTGAGATGGGGTAAAGAATAAATATTGGTATGATATCTGTTTTTCGGTGTTGGATTGGTTGGGTGATTTGTTTTGAAGGTTGAAAACCGGTTGCTTTTGTATGTGTGTTCAAAATAGGCCAAACAGAGTAGGGGGACTCTAGGGGTGGACGGCAAAATGAGGACGGGAGAGGCCTAGTCTAACTTAATGGCTTTAGGCCTAGTCTAACTTAATGTCTTCTTCTATTTGCTTTTTCGCCCCCTGGAGAAAAAAAACAGTAGTGATAGATTCCCTTTAAAGCCAGCAAGGGAAAACAAAATGTTCAAGCAAATGGATGTCTTACGTCGTAATTATTGTTGAAGGAATCCTTGCAGGCCACACGTGCCTCTTGGCAAATTTCACACAGATCTGTGTGGCAACTCGGATCCGTCGACCCCAAACTGCGTGCATGTTTTTTTCTTGTTTGACGTTGGAAGGGGAGCAACAATTTATGTTTTAGCAGTTAAGTGGATTTAGATTTCAACCACTAAACCACAATAAGATCAAAAATGGGAAAAATGTTTCCCAACAACGACCATGCGTGTTCTTTTCTTCAGTTCGGGTGCCAGCCTCCATTGGGGTCTGGATCCTTCGACCCCAACTGCGTGCATTTTTGTTTATTCAGTCTCCGTGCTTTGCCAGCCTTTTCATTGGGGTCTGGGATCCTTGGACCTGAAACAACTCGGCCTCGCTCAACGAGGTCCCCAGCACAAAGCTTGGGGTTGACGCTGGGTTAGGGGAGCAAGGCTCTAAAACTTTTAGCAGTTCAGTGGATTTGGATTTCAACCATTAATCTAGAGGTTGATTCCCCATTCTGTTCAGCCATCGTTCTTTTCAAAACCGGCCATTTCCCAAGGGCTTTTGGTGGTTTTCTAGAAAGAAGGATCCTTGGAAAGAATGGGGAAGGTAGCCCTAGAATTAAGCCACAATAGCAAAAATGTTCAAATGTTTCCCAACAACCACCATGATGCATGCTTCGAAAAGAGGATCCGACATTCAGCATGAATTTACCCACTAACCACGATTAAACCGAGTCCGAACTACTTGAATTTACCACTCACATCGTCCAACCAACCAGGAAGCCCATGTCCAGTAGAGAGGTTAGAATAAGGGTACCAACTCTTTTTTTTCAGTAGTCTATCTTAGCAGGGGAACCCTCCCAACCAAAAAAGTTGGTGAGAAAGGGCACCTAGCTGGGGACTTTGTCAAATTGAAGGTTCTTCGTTTGGGGCCACCCACATTCTCCACCCGCAGCGGCCAGGGGTGCTGGAAAGCAAGGACACTTGTGCAGGGACACTTGTGCAACTCGACACATCACAGCCCAAAAGCAGCAAACAGCGAGAAAAGCACCAAAAGCACCAGGTTTTGTACCAGCCTGTTTCCCCCCCCCAAAAGGGGAAAAAGGGCACGACCGGGGGACCTAGACCACGTCTGGGGCACCCAACCGCACACGCCCAAAGCCACCGCTCAATCCGAGGCGCCGAGATGGCCGCGCGCCCCGCGAGCTGGCGCCGCCGCCGGGCCTGGGCGACGCCCAAGGGAGACTTTTCAGGGATCCGGATGCATTATACACCGATCGAACATTGCAACTTGTAAATGGTGGTGTCCAACTTTCTTTTAATATTGAAAAAGCAACATGTTTCAAATGGTTGCAAAATGGAGATCTTTTAAGGAGCCCTGTCCAAAAAACCCAAAAAAAGGGGGTGCTTTCTAAAAAAAAGCACCTCTAGATATGGGTGTGTGTGTGTGTGTTTGTGTTTTACAAGGAGGCCGCCCCCCCTTCCCACAAAGCACCATGTGTGTGTGTGTGTGTGTTCTCTTTTTACTAGGAGCCGCCCCCAAAAAAGCACCTCTAGGTGGGCGTGTCTTCTTTTCTTCTTTTAACAGGAGCCGGGGAGCACCCCCCCAAAACAAAAAAAACAAACACTGCTAGGGTTCCTTTTAGTTTCCGATTCAAAACACCAAGATGTAATACCCCCCGAAAAAGACACGCCCATATAGATATGAAAAGCTGGAATGGTGAAAGATTGCCATAGCCGCCGTGAATTGCACAGAGCGACGCTCAGCCATGGTTCCGTCCAGTCACGTTGCACAACCGCAAAAGGGCTGACCCTTTTAAGTGCCGAGCCCGATAAACAAACCTGGGAAAAGCGGGCCACTCAAGAGTGAATGGCCCAAACAAACATTCCAGGCTTTTGAACATTTGTCTACCACTAAGATGCTCCTAAAAAGTTCGAAGTCCGAAACGGAACTCAGGGAGTGAGACAAGATGGCAGTGGTATCTTCAAGCAGGTGTTCACTCGCTATGTGCCAAGGGTCCAGGTGTTTTGTTCTTCGCGCCAAAGCGCGGGCCATGTCAGCAAGCGACTGGAGAGATATGCGCTGGGTGGCTCTTGAAAAACATCGAAGCATTGGGTGAGTTCCAGCATAACTGAGGGCAGCTTGCTTGACGATTCCTCTTGTTTTTCTTTTTTTGAATTGCAGCAAGTTGCCCAGATCCGTTTGAAACCCCCATAGACCTCTGCCGAAAGCTGCTAGAGGCAGACTTTTAAATGTTTTGAGCACATAGACTTGTCTCCGAACTCGAAACGGTGGGTTTGCATTTGCGTCTGCTTCAAATTAAAATACCCCGTTTGTCGATTTCCATTGGTCATAAGCTCGATGCACCGCGAGCTCCTTGTGATTTGCCCAGAGATGCGTGTAGTCTCGTGTGTGCTAATTGGCTACTCGCAACACGTCCAAGTACCTGAGGAAGCACCTCGTCCAAATTGAGTTAGGACTTACTTGGCTAGGTCCTCCAGTTACTGGAGGTTAGAATAAGTTGGTACCCAGTTTTTTTCTGGACGTCTAAAAGGGGAACACACTGGGGGACCTTGGGACTTGAACCCCGAGGGCGCCTCCTGGTTGAACGTAAGGAGTTTTAGGGGCGTCCAAGTGTCGGGTCTGACTTGAAATACCAAAAGCAGTCCAGAGATGTCCAGAGACAACCTAAGGCTGTTGAGGGAATCGGCCATGGAAGGCTTGGAAAAGGTATGCCCAAAAGGTATGGATACTTCTTTGATACATTCCCCATCATTTGCTTTTTTGGGCGGGTCCACACCTCAAGATATGTTGACAGCTCTTTTCTTTTGGGGGGGGGTTGTCTCAACACAGAAAACCCTGCACATGCTCAGCGTCTGCTCGGCTTCACTTTAAACCAACCCCAAGGAGGGTCCCCCTTTAAGAAAAGGCATAGGTCTGGGTGAATTATAATATTTCACAGCCTGAAATAAGGTGGTTGGGGGCCATTCCCCACATAAACCACCATTTGGGGTGAGGTCGTGTGAGGTCGCTATGATTCACCCAGATATGTGAGTTGGTGTCAACTTCGGGGAACTCCATCGTTTGTCGTCCGAAAGCCGCCAGAAAGGGGGTTCGCCAACCTGAGAACCCCCTATGGACACTGGAGGTCTGCGACATGTTTGCCAAGAGGGCTCCCCCAAACAGGGACGCAGTCCTAATCCAGCTACCAGTGGATGGGCCAAACAAGTCCAAACTGTTGCCACTAAACAAGTAGGTCTTCCCAACAAGTGTACAGTCCAGGAAATCAGGAAGTGTACAGTCCAAGCAAAATATTTGGATGACGACAATCCCGACCCAGGAATCTCTCAAGGCGCAGATCTTGGCGAGGGCGATGCGCTCCCAGGGGAGTACACGGACATAGGAGAGGGCTGCCCACCCTCGTTCGGCGCAAAACAACTTCAAGCAACCGATGGCCTCGCCTAACTCACCTCCTGAGTGGACTGGCCAAACAAAGTCTGAACTTCTTGCTTACCACACAAATGGGCTTCTCAGAGTCCAGGAATTCAGGAAGTGAGCTCAAGTAACCCCCCCAAAAGAGGTTGTTTGCCGAACAGGCGGATAACAAATGTTTCAACAAGGGGTCAACCCGCCATTGCCTCAGATCCGAAAGATCAAAGACCAAAGCAATAATCTTCATCCCGAGTTCGCATTGGACCCCCACACCGTTGCCAAAAATGAGTTGCAAGTGCCATGTGGAGGCTTATCAATATTCCTTTCGGGCCCTAAATAACCATGAGTAACTTTTCCCATTGGTTGAACAGGGATCCTTACATTATACACCTGAACATTGCCTTGTCTTATGTTGGTGGAAAAAGCCATGGTTCAAATGGGCAAAATGGAGATCTTTCAAGGAGCCCCGTTGAAATATCATCTTTTTAGTGGTTTTCCAACCAACGGTCATCCCAAGGACCTGTGGATAAAGACTAGTCTTCACGCGACGGGCCTGCGAGTGACTCGGTTGGGCACCCCGCAAAAGGCCCAAGCGCAAAAGGCCCAAAATTTTCAAAGTAATCCAGGAAGCTCACATGGACTGAACTTCAGTGAGCGGGGCCTGTTTTCGACCAGCATGTTCGTCAATCCTTGACCCGTGACCCCTGCTATCGATCTTATTTCATTGCCTCCAACATCAGCGAGTGTCTCAGGTGCCCCTTACAAAATGGGTCTGGGTCAAAATCAAAGCACCGGGGACCGCGCGTTTCAGCCCTTGATCCATTTTTGGGTACAATTGTTTCACCCCCTCCCCCCTAAACGGGAGGCTAGACTAACCTTTGACCAGCAAGAATGTGGTCTGGCCAGGGCTACATCAAAAGCAACAGGGGCAACTCACAGCGGAGCCAGGCAAAGCTGAGCTTGACGTTTCCCATGAAACTTTGCCTTGCTCAACAGAGGTCCAAGCACTGGCTGCCAGCCGATTTCATGTTGCTTCTTTTGCCGAACAAAAAGGCCGCGTTTGTACCCACCGCTGTGATACGAGCGTGGGCTAGACCCGGCCTGCGCGAAACTTGATTGGTCCAAGCTGAGCAGCAGGTCCTGCATAGCAGGGAACCGAACTTTCCCGCGATGACCCTCGGGTGAAAGGAGAGCAAAGGCGCGTCCAATGGAAGTAACACTAGGCCTTTTCAAGTGACTTACAAAGCCCTTTTGCCCACTTAAACAACTGTTGGCAAGAGTGTGTACACATGCGGGCTTGTCAAAATTAGGACCCTGGTTGCAATCCACTTTAACAAACGGCACATTTCTTAAAGGGGGCATATTTGTGACAACTCCCCGCATGGTCTGGGGGCGGAAGGGGAGGGGTAACAAGTAAATATTCTCATTTAGTGGTGAAAAGCAGCTTTTTGGTGGTTGCCCTAATGGTCACCCCAAGTAAAGGACCTTTTGATGAACCCCCGAATATGTCAACATGTAAAAAATTCCAAATCTTAAGCCCGTGAGGTCAAACGCAGAGAGATTTAGGCGTGACTCCTCAATGAGGACCACAGCAAGCTCTGCATCCGTGGAAGACTGCCTCAGTGAGATCAGGTGGCCGATGACTGTCCAAAGAGCCCAAGATCCAATTGATTGTGCCCATTAAGCTGGGTAGAACTACAAACTTGGTTCTGAATATAGACCAACGGTGGCGTGGTCAGTTAGCCTAGCCAGTGGTGAGCATACACCATGTCACCCGGTTTATATGGCAGAACATGGTCATGAAGGTTTGCTGTGGCTGTCGAGCTACCGCTGACTCTGACTTAGTCGGGGATGCTGCCATACGCCTAAGCTAGAAATTCCCCAAACTCCTGCTTTTAGGTTCGTTGTTCGACGCGACCGCAAGACAAATGTTGAAAGACCTGAAGTCTTGTTAGTCCAGAAGACGTGATGCTTGTTGGCCAACCTTGCACATTCAGAGCCCCCAGTGTTCCTTGTCCCTTCATCACCCCGCCCAAACCAACGACATCGACAACTTGGTGACTGTCCAAACAAACACCCGCAACTTGAGCAACATCCAATCGAGTAAACGAAAGACCATGCACTGATTTCGCTGTAGCCGTACTCTTTTGCAAACAAAATCGCATGGAGCCCATTTTCACCATCAACCAAGGAGTCTCTTTTTTGTCGGGGCCGACTTATTGATGTCATTTCTCGCAAATCGGAACCAACACTAGGTCCTCCAGTAGTGAGGTTAGAATAAGGATACCTTTTTTCTGTAGTCTACTTTAGTAGGGGAACCCTCCCCCCAAGAAAGGGAAAGGGCACCAATTGCTGGGGGACCTCGAACAAATGCCCATGTTCGTAGCTCGGAACCCACCAAACTTCCGCGGCAGCGTCCGAAGAACGGCGAGGCGCACGAGGCCGATGTGGAGGGCCTCCAGCTCAAGGTCCAGCTGGAGCCGGCAACTGTGCCACACCGACGCCTCGCTTTAGCGAGTGGATCGGAATTCACGTGGTCGTAGTCCCAGGACCGCGTTTAGTGACGTCCATTTGCTTGAGCAACCGGAATAAAACAAAAATATGTCCAGTAGTGATGTTCTTAAGCAAATGGATGGTGGGGATCGCTGTGGGTTAAAAAAAAAACAAACAAAAATGGATCCCTGGTGAAAACATGGACCAACAGCTGCGGATTTGCGGTGGTGAAAAAAGCTGACCCACACACACACATGGTCGTGGTCCCAGGACCGGGTTTAGTGGGGATGGAGTCACGTGGAACCCGACAAACCATCAAAGGACTCGCCCCGCGGACGTCCCCTTTTGAGGTTCCATGAGAAAAAAGGGGGAGCCAGGAAAAAACAACAGATCTACAATTGGTGTCCTTCCAGGATTGTTCTCAAAACTGTGGGCTACTTGGCACCTAGTGCCAGTGACCTGCACTGAGAAGGGCCGATCAAAACAAGCAATACACCAAACAAAAGAAGAATTAGCATGCCTCTGCACCCGAATTGCCTTGCCACTTCTGACTCCGAATGCAGATTCTTAAAGGGTGGGGGAGTTCCCTGATATTACAGAAGGGAGACAAATCGCTGATTCCCACACCCAACATTGTTGTGGAAGATGGGTCTGCACTTGGTACGTGTATCACAGAAAATGACCCACCCATCCCGCCGCCCCCGCTCCTCCCCACCCATGCGCTTTGCAGGCCGACGATTCAACAGGGGAGAGGATTTAACCCCGCTTTTCGGCCCTGAGGGCCGATTGACGGGTTTTATCCTGTTAAATGTTTAGACACGGGCCGGTCATACACCTAGTGTCAGGGTCCTGGGTGCAAATAGTTCCCCTAAATGGCCCGATCGTCTCTATGTTTTCACACTCCGGTTGCATAAGCATTCAAGTGCAGGACGTTCTTCGGATTGTCTGTGAAGGAGGGAACCACACGAGACTATTAACGACCCCATGGGCTAAGGGGGATCAGCAACCGCCCAAGTTATCATCAAGCTGCCTTTGCTTGGTGCAGGCTGACAGGAAGCACATCTTCCGTGACCGGGATTTCCAACTTGAAGGGAGCCCCTCCTGCATCATTTGCGGGTCCAGCACGGGGCGGTGCGGATGGGCGTGCTCATGGCGCAGATCGATTTTGGAGCTGCATGCGCACCGCATGTTGATTCGCATCCCAACTCCCACAGCCCCAGCTCACAGCCCCACAGAGCCTGTGGCTTCCAGCGTTCATATCCCACCATCCAGCCCCCATCAGCCAGCGTGATCTGCTTCACGTGATTTGAAGCTCGCCGCTCTTCCGGCTTGGTGTTGGGTTGGCGGCGTTTCCGTTCCCAGGTGCAGCCACTGGCAGTGGGATCTGGGCTGCGTTGCATAAGGCCTGGTTTGATCCCTCGGGCTTCTTTCCGATGAAGGAAACCAGACCGGCGTCAGTCTGGATGCAGACGGTCAGTCCTGACTTAGCGCAGTCGCGAGTCCGACCCAAGCTGTCAGCTCGCAGCGAGCCCCGCCCAAGCACAAGTTGCGCCGCTCGTCCCAGCTGCGCCAGGCTGCCCTGTTGCCAGCTGATATCCTGGGCTCTGCCGTGAGCCCGTCAAACCAATACTCATTGCAGCCACCTCACTGGCAAGCCAGCCTGCAGCCGCTTCCAGCCATCAGCATCAAATCACAGCTCGAGTTCAAGTTCCTGGCATCGCTTTGCCTGCAGCTCACCAGACTGCTCAGCCAGCTGGCTGCTCAGCCCAGCCCCGGTATCATTTGCTCAAGCCCGCGTTGTTCTTATTGTTGTTCTTTTGAGCCTGGCTGAGGCGAGCAGCACGCAGCGACTACAATAAACCCGCACCATAGGAGGAGGGGGGGTGGTGATCCCGGCAAAAGTGCTGAAGCCCCAAGACAAACATCCCACATCCCCAGACACGCAGCCCCCCATTTTCCCACCCTCCTGTCTCTTTTTCTCGTCTTAGGCGCCGCGTGCCACAAGGAGGAGACGAACCACGTGGGCACCAGCTCCAGTACGATCTCCCCCACCTGCTCCAAATCCTGCGACACCGCCCGCCAGCTGCGCTCAGAGAACCTGCGTTCGGAGGACCTCAGCTTCGGAAAAATCGTGTGATGGGGTTGCTGTTGGAACTGACCATGTGAGCTGCAGTGGATGGACGGAAACCTGCACCAGTTTGAAACCATGTGAAGCCACTGTTAGTTGGAATGTACAGGGGAATCATTCTTCCAGCATTTCTTAAGTGGTGCAGGATTTCGTCCATCCACAGTATCTCCAAAGTTCAAAAGGTGGAGAAATCAAGAATATCTCTTGTTTGCTTTGTTTGACAGGGTTGTTAGCACTATGCCCGTTCCTGAAATCCAACCTTGGAATCGAATTTGAGGGATAACCCACCCCACTACACCCAATGATTTGGGCACATGTCGTTCCATGTTGGCCTGAAATCCCAGCGGATTTGAGGGAGCGCCCGCTGCGCATTCCTGGCGTTTTTCTCAGCTGGTCCCACCCCCCCTATGTTGCTCGATCTCCTGGATTGCAATGAAACCAAAAGCCCCTGCATCCACTGCATGCTGGCTATGTGATATTTGCGTTTAACACACACAACGCATGGCAGCCCCTGAACCCTGGCAGCAGGCGAGCTCCAGAGCCAAATGACAAAGGGCACGCAGGGCAATGGGATTGCAGAAATCACAACATCCCATGACTGACTAGTGACTGGTGCAAAGGAGTTTTTTAAGGGGCCTGCTTCAAGCGCAGTTCAAGGGAATTCGCAGGGCCGCAACAACTCATGCCAGCCCCCTCTAGACTCATGCCAGCCCCCTCAAGCACCGGTTTGTTCCGTTTATTCGGCATGCTGCAAACCCACATGCTTTGCCTTGCTGCACTGCTGCCCCATTCCTTGTGTTTGTGTTCCACGAGGTGTCAAATGGTTTCTAAGAAATGGGCTCCTTTCGGGCGCGATCGGAACCCGTTTTGAATCCGCTTAACGGGTCTCACAAATGGTACCCAGCAGGGCTGTGGGGAATGGAATCCACTTCTGTGATGTAACAGAAAAGGGCCGAACCCCAAAAACAATTTTGTCGATCTAAAGGGGGATTCACAGAAGTGGCTGTGGCTCAAAATTAAACAGGAGGGGTTACGCAGGTTTTGGTCCATGGTTCCACCTGCCAGGGTTCCATTTTGGTACCGGTTTTTTGAGCCACAGCCAAGTGGTTGGAGAAACCCCGAGTGATCAACCACAACCCTGGCACCCAGTGCCATAGACCACCAGTAGGCCTAGGCTGCTTCAGCTTCCTGGTGCCCAGGGAATGACTTTCCGGGTGGCGGGTGTCGGGAATGAACCGGAAGGGCATTCCCTTCAATGAAACCATAGGATGGTTTATAGGAACCATTCCCTCATTCCCTGCTAGGAACTAGCAAGTTGAAATGATGGGTGCTGTTCAACAAAGTAAGCTTTTCGGGGTTGGTTTCAAGAACCGCCAAACAGGAAGATTAACCCTTTCTCTTTTGGGGAAAGCGTCCTGGCAAAGCCAGGACGCGATCTTCCCCAATCCAAGTGGCTCGGAGCGGGCTTTATCCTTGAGGCTGCTGAAACTCCCGGATTTCTCCATGCTCCGCGGATCGTGGCCTCGGCACCGGTTCGGTTCACCCTCAGTTTGGTGGGTTCCGTCTGGGAAAAGTGAACAAAACACACTCGAATCTAGGGCTATCGTCCATTTCTATTCTTTCCAGGCATCCTTCTAAAGCCACCCACACCCCTGGAAAAACAGCTGGTTTTTGAAAGAGCGTTGAAAAGAATCGGGAATCAACCCCTAGAATGAACATCTGGGCGTCGCCCATGTGCGAACTGCAAAAGAATCGACATGAACTCGGTTGCTTTCTGCTCCCCTGCTAAAAGTTTAACTTTTAGTGGTTTAATGGAAAACCCATTAGTTGGCAAACAGTTACGGTCCTAACATCCCTTGGCAAAATGCACCTCTATGAAGACAGTCAAAGAATTGACAAAGACAGGCAGCTGCACTTCGTCAGAGAGGGCTCTTGAAAGTGATACTATATCCTCCTTGCCTTCCATTTGGTTGAGGCCCCAGGAAGAAAAAAAATAATGTTCGGTAGTGATGAATTCCTTTTAAAACCAAGGGAAAATAAACAAAATCTTAACCAAATGGACGTTGTTCTCCTTAATGGCCTTACAGCTCATGGCCTTACAACAAGGAGTTGGTGGAGTGCTGGGCAGTTTCCTTCTAACCTTTGAGTTATGGCCTTCAAACAGCAAGGGGCTTTGGTAGCTGTGTCTAAAAAAAATGGCGCGGCCCGCCGCTTTGTGCCCCTGTCTTCGTTCGTTGGTTCAACATGCTCAACCCAAAAAACGCGGTCCACGTTGGTTTTTTTCTTCGGGCGGCCAAAAGCCGCCAGCTCAGCATCCAGCGCCAGCAGATATCTCCAGGTCCTGAGATGGATCGAGACTTGTCTGTGAAAAGTCACTCACCCGCTCTGTCTGTTGTCTGATGTCGCCGCTAAAAGTGTGAAACACTTTTAGTGGGTTAGATGGAAATCCACAAAACACTGAACAGCTGAAAAGCTGAGGGGATGGCTGGGAGCCACCAAGTAACTTGGGGGTTATATGGAAACCCAACCACCAAACCAACTTTAAAAAAAAGAGCTACAAGCCTAAGGGGATGGCTGGGAACTATCGAGCTTTGAGTCTCGGTTCCCTTTTTGGGTTAGTTTGAAAAGGAGACTAAAGGCATCACTTTGGGGGGTCCCACCTCAAAAAAGATATGTCTTCTCAATGCGGAGAGAAACGCAATTCCCGGGGCGAGGGGGGGTGGCATGATGGATAAGGATTCGCGGGCGCAAGTCGAGGGTCAAATGGCCATCGTTGCACCCGAAAGCAACCCCTTGGGGCTAATTCCATGGGTCCTTGATTGAAAAGAAGAGGTTCACAGCAAATGACTTCACACAGAGTGAGTGTTTGGTTTGTTACAGGGAAACGAAAAGGACACCTGCCATTTTGGTGGAGAACATTTCCAGCTGGGTGCCTGTTGTGTGAGGGTACCCTCTTTAGGTTGGTTCAAAGTGAAAAGGCAAGCCCATTCGATGCAGTTTGTGGTTGGAAGGGTAAATTTTGGGGTGGATAAAGTTAAAGGTAAACCAACAAGAACACCGAAGCCATGTGTTTTTTGTGTTTTGTCCTTTCTTCTTGCCCCGGGGGGGGGGGGGATTTTTGAGACACGCCCATTTAAGGGCACCAAAAAAACACCACTTTTTTTTGGAGGGGGGGTCGATTTTTAAAGACACGCCCACTGAAAACCCACCAAATTTCGACACCAACCGACTTCCACTTCCAGGCCTCAGCAGCAGTGGCACATGCTCCGTCTTCAGCGAGACCTGAGCTTCTGGTGATCGGCTCTCGGCTCTGGCGAGGTTCGGGTTCGAAGAAGCCCATCTATTCAGTTGGGCGTGGATGTTTTTTTTGGAGGGGGATTGAAATGAGGTTTGGTTTCAGTTGGGTGTGCGTGATTTTTTTGGAGGGTACACCTTGGGTGCTTTTTTTGAGGGTACGCCCTTGTTGGTTGGTTTTAAGGGGGAACGCAAAGGACAACCGTCAAAAAAGACACCCATATGGGTTTCTCATCATACGAATGGCGAACCACCTACTAGCTTGGCGACGAATATCCCAGTAAATCCCGGAATTGCCACAGTTCCCGCACATCACTCTGGAAAGCTGGGCTGCTTGACGGCGTGATCTTCACTCAGGGTATCGACAAATTCGAGGGGCGGGGGGGGGGCAGCGAAGTACATGGCCACTACAAATGCTACACTCATGCAGTAGTAGAAATGAAGAACGGATACCCAATCGTGCAACCGTCTCTCCGCTACTGACCATTTGATTGATCGGGTGCCGACACTACTCTCTAAAAAAAGGCACCCCCTTCAAACTCTGGATGGACGAAATCCTGCACCACCTTGAAGCCACGGTTGACACCATAACGTTTGTTGGTATTTACGAGGGAATTTCTATTCTGGGTGTCTTAGGTGGTGCCTATAGGGATTTTGTCCCCTCCTCTTTTTCACATAAGTTCTCACCAGGGGCCCAAGCCACAGGGTTCAACTGCTTCGACCCTGCGTCAGGGCACCCCGACTTTTTCGAAACCCGAACATGCCCCAAAACAGGCCCCATCCACCCATCCACCCCCCCCAACAATCCCCCGCAACAACCTGCCCCCCGCAACAACCCCCCTCCCCCCCCTCCAACCCTCTCCTCCCCCCCCCAAACCCTGCCCCCGCAAACCCCAACCCCCCAAACCTCCCCCCCAACCCCCCCCGCGGATCCTCTTCGAGGCGCGCAAAGCGGCGCCAGCCGCAGCTGCCCACTGATGCGCCTCTCCAAACTCAGCTCCACGTCCAGGCGAACCCGGCAGGGGTGCAGAATCGCACCCTCCTGGACCATGGAATGTGTCTTTCTTGAGGGGATCCCCCCTGCCAAATATATGTATATATACACATAAATATACATATATATATATACACTAGAACAAAACAACATGTGTATATATATATATGGCTATGATTTTTTTAGGGGTCTGTAACGCGCGACGCGCCACGAATCTTGTTACGGAGGTCTGTAACGGAGGTCCTTGTTACGCAGGTCTGTAACGGGACAAACATTTCCTGACAAGCAGTATCAGTAGCACAATGTAGCGCAGCACAACGAGGTATGTAATGGCTATGTAACGAGGTCTGTAACGAGGCAAAGCGAAGCGCAGTACGCAAAGCGCGCCTCGGCAGCACCAGCTTGCTTGAGCTATTCAACGCAAGCCACGCTGCGGCAAAAAGCGGGGTCGCTGGCCCGGGCTGGGGTTGGGTCTGTAACGAGGTATGTAACGGCTATGTAACGAGGTCTGTAACGAGGTAAAGCAAAGCGCAGCACGCAAAGCACGCCTCAGCAGCTCTATTCAACGCAAGCCAAGCTGCGGCAAAAAGAGGGCAGTCACGACACTGGCCCGGTTTGTTCATCTGAGGTGTGTAACGAGGGCGTGTATAACGAGGGTGTGTAACGAGGGTGTGTAACGAGGGTGTGTAACGAGGGGTGTGTAACGAGCCAGCTGGTTTTGTTACAGAGGTCTGTAACGAGGTCTGCAACGAATGTCCGCCGCGGCTCTGTTACAGACCCCTCAAAAAAAAACACTGCCATATATATATATATATATATATATATGGTGTTCCCGGTGGTTTCCGTTTCAACCCCCCCCCCCCCACCCCGCAAAAAAACAAAGAGGTAGTGTTCCCCATTCTGTGTCTTTCCGATAGCGTTAATGTGAGGAGACAACCAACTTGTGGCCCGAGTATCCAATACGCATACCTCTGGCTCAAAACCTGATTCGGTATATCCACATGGAAAATCGTTCAGTGGATTTGCAGGCAAGCCATCAAAACTAGGCTTTTTCTGGGAGCCTCCGGCTGTACCGCCACCCAAGAAAAGTGGTTTTCCTTGTGGCTTTCCTTTCAAACCAGCCAACAAAAGGTTCCACATGGGTTCTTCATCTACATGTGCCTGGGTATATGTCGCCTCTTCCCTGGATCGATTGTGGGGTTGCGTAAACAAACAAAAAAAGGCACCCAGCTTGCAAGCCGGCCATTTTTGACATCCTCACGTGCTTTTTGGCCCTAGGCCCAGGGCAAGCCTCTTCTGGCAGAATCCGAATCTGACCTGATACCTTCCATTTGCTTTTGCGCCCCCTGGAAAAAAAAGTCCAGTGGTGATGGATTCCATTTGAAACCAGCAAGGGAAAACATATTTGTTTAAAAAAAAAAAAATGTTCTTAAGCAAACGGATGATACGTGTCTGAGCCCCAAACCCCTTCCCACCTCCATCCCCTTCAACCACCTCGCCCCTCATCCTTCCACTCCAAGACCCAATTGCCAAGGCCTCGCCCGCCTCCTCACCGACCGCACTTAAGTCTCAAGGGGTGAATATCACCACTGGTGGTCCCCGAAGAGAGATTTAGCTGAAAGTAGCGTCTACTTTAAATATATGTTGCAGCAAAACAACACAAAAAAAAACCACACGTGTCCATCCACCCAAAACCCCCACTGGTGCCCGCCCCCCCCCCCCCCCACACGCGTCCATCATACCCCAGCAAAACCTGCCCCCCCGCCCAAAGTAGGCCGGTTCTTTTTTTTGGTAGCGCCTTGTTGCCTCCCCGGGAGCTGTGGCACGCACAAAGGCTGGAGACCCGCAGCTGGCTCCGCAGCTGCCGCAGGGACCAGTGCAGCCCGCAGCTCCACACGATGCCTCGCGGTGACTTTCGAGCGAGGAGGATTTCGCCGCCGCCGACGAAAACGGAACGGTCACCAGGGGGGGAGGGTTTGCGGGGGGGTTGTTTTTTTTTTTGAGGGGGGAGGATGATGAGAAAAATCCGCTGAGCCCCATGGAAAAGCCGCTGTTCCCGAGCGGTTCCCAAAAAGTGGAAGTCCAAAGATCCAACCAGATGGCCAAGCTTGAGTCGAAGGGAAGCTCTTCCTTGAGCCCAGGGCGGACCTGGAAATGAAAGGTGAGATCAGCTGTTGGGGCCGCTGAAAACAATTGCTCAAATCAGGGAAACCAAAAAGTTAAAAGGAACAATGTGTTGCCAAGACAGGGAAACTAAAAGGTTCAAAGGTCAGTTCGCTTTTGGCAACTGAGGTTTCTTTGGCCCAAATCAAGGCTTTTCAGTTTCCAGCATCCCGGTCCCGGAATTTTGACCATTGGCCCAAATCTTGCGACAGCAAATCGCATGTTCTGACTTGGTGTCATATTTTAGTCTGCATCAATATTAAAAGCATTGTAAGACCTTGGAAGGGAACATGCGTGGCTCCTCTTTAAGGAATCGAACCCCTTAGATGGTGGTTTTCCTTTTACGTCCCTTCAACCCAAAATGGTACGTTCCAACAAAAATACACACCCGATGTGTTTCTAGCTGTTTGTGGTTTAAGCAGCACCTTTTTTGCCAGAGATTCCTGGGTGATGTTAGGGAAAACAGAGGGAGCCGTGACTTAACCAATTTCCCTGCCTGCCTACTCACACAATGGGGACAACAACCTCTTGGAGTTTGTATTTTACGTGGGTGGCTCGTCTTTTTTGCGGTTGGACCCTTCCAAAATGGTGGTGTCCAATTTCAGTTTCCCTTTAAAACCACCCAAAGCCAGGTACCCTCAAAAACGACAGACCCGCATGGCGAGCCGGTCCCGACAATGAAAGAGCAGCAACCACAAGAGCCAAAACTTGAGCACTACTGCGGGTGGGCAAGATGCATTTCGCACCACTTGAAACCATGAAAAGCCACTGTTTGTTGGTATTTGCGTTGGGGAATCAAATCATTCCAGGGTTTGTCAAGTGGCGCGAAATGGATTTCGTCCATCCACAGTCGCTTTTGAAGGTTCCTTAAAACGGGAAATGGCTCTGAAACCCTGTAAAACCAAACTCGCTTCTCGAGTGGATCGGGCAAAAAAAGGTACCCACACTTTCCACTTGCCACGAAAATGGTCCAAGGAAAAAAGTGCCAAAAGTCCGAGTTCCGGAACTCGGGGAGTGCGCCGAACGAGGAAAAATTATCGGTCCCCCAGCAATCGCTGCCCTTTTTCTCCGTTTTTTTGGTTGGGAGATTCGGTTCCCCTACTACAACAGACGTCCTAAAAAAAGAAACGGTACCAACTTATTCTAACCTCTCAAATCTGGAGAACCAAGCCTGTCCCTGAAGCAAAGTTACCACCCCAGCCTGAATTGAAGTGAGAAAACGATCACATGTTGCTCGACATCGCCCAAGGTAGTCTTAGGTCTTGCCGCTCGCTCAAGTGGACTCCATGTCAACCACAGCGTTCTTCTAGGGGTTCATTCCTTTTCCATTCTTTTCAACCATCGTTCTTTAAGCCAAAAAAACAACTCGGTGTTTGTTTCTGGGGTTCTGATGGTTTTCTGGAAAGATTTGGATCCATGAGTTTAGAATGGAATTGGAAGGTACCCCTAGAGTGTGGATCGCTCAGTTTTGGACGGGCTCCCTTCAAGTAACTCCATCAAAACTTCTTACAGTGTCCCCATTCCCCATCCTTGGTTGACGTTGGAAGGGGAGCAACAATTCAAACCATAGCCGTCAAGTGGTTGGATTTCAACCACTAAACCACAATAAGCAAAAAATGGGAAAAACTGTTTGCCAACGACGACCACGCATCGTTCTTGCTCGATTTTTTTTCCAACCTAAGACGCTCGCTGTGGATTCCATGGTCCGCCGCTCCCCCGCGAGACCAGGAACCCCGCTCGACCGACAGAAACCGCGCGAGCTCGACCCACAGAAACGGCGCCTTGCGGGTCCTGGCCGGCGGCGCTGGGCAGAAAGGCCGAGAGCTTGGTGCAGCTCACCTCAAAGAACCGCAGGGGACGCTTGCAACCATTCTTTCCAGAAAACCATCACAACCCCAGAAAAAGAAAGAAACAAAAACGGCTAGTTGTTTGTCAAAGAGAACGGTTGAAAAGAATGGGGGGGGGGAAAAACAACAGCTAGTTTTGTTAAGAAGAACGATGGTTGAAAAGAATGGGGAAGACACTTTAAGAAGTTTTGAGGGTGGCACCTTAAGGAATCCTCGCGGTGGTTGTCGGATCCCGATCGGTAAATGGAAAGGCTAAACCCTGCGGTTTTTCTGGTTGAATTTTGACCCACACCCAAAATGGAGCCCTGGTAAATGGACACATGGACTGACCTCTGTGGCTTTCTGGTTTGATTTTGACCTAAACCAACCTCCAGATTTGAGAGGTTCGAATGAGTTGGTACCAACTCTTTTCGGTTTTGTCTATTTCAGTAGGCCCAGAGAAAGGTAACAGGGCACTGGGGGACCTAGTATTGTTTAGAGGCTAGCTGACACCAGTCTCTAGCGATTTACTGAAATCTGAAACTCACTTCCGATCGAGTGCCTGGGCAAAACCAAAAAACCAATTCAGGCCGGGATCCACTCCAAAGAGGAAACACACAAATTGAAACTTTTCACTCGATCCCAGAGGGTGTTGTTTGGTAGCCTAGGATTGTTTTTTTTTTTTTTGCTTTCTGGGGATTGAAAGGGGTTCAACTACTAGGTCCTCCAGATTTGAGAGGTTCGAATCAGTTAGTACCAACTTTTTTGTTTTCCCGGTAGTCTAGTTTACTAGGGGAACCCTCCCCCAGAAAAGGGTAAAAGGGCACTACTGGGGGACCCAAACTTCAATGCAGGCCGGGTCTTACATTCTATTTAGGATGGGTTCGGCTTGGTCGGAGCTTGGATTCAATCAGGGCTATGGTGTAAATGGCAACTTCTGTGATGCAACAAAAGGGCTCCCAAAGAACCCCCCCCCCGATGCAAAGGTGGATGATGCCCAAAAGTATCATAGAAGTGATTGGATAAACCTCGAGTGATCCCACAACCTTGCCTGAGAAGCATCGGTGTTGAGTGGGGACAAATGGTAGTAGAGTGTCTGGTGTTTAGTACCAGGTTGAAATGGATATCAAATCCAGGATCGGGAAACCGGTGAACCTAAGTGAACAGGAGAGTCGAAGAAAAATTGGTTGAAACGGTCAAACGCATGTCGCACACATGAATCAAACCAAGGGATGAAAAGGAAAAACCAAAGGTCGAAGGGTTTAAAGTAAAAAACAACAACAACAACATCGAACCAAAGGTTGAAAGGGTAAAACAAACTCAGCCACCACTTTGGAGATTTGGTTTGGTGGTTGGGCAATTTGGAGGTTAGGGGGTGGCTTGTCTCAGTAAGGAAAAAGGTTCATCTCCCGAAAAACCAAGGGTTGCCTGACCAAAAGGGTTGAGGCGTGTGGTTTTCATGTTTTTGCTTAACCAGCTGTTTAGCGCTGGTGTGTAAAGGGCCGTATCTTGCCCAACTCACCTCCGATTGGGTGGGGATTGGCCAAACAAAGTAACCATTTTTTTTTTATTTACCACTAAAATGGTCCAAGCCCCAAAGAGTTGAAAGTCCGAAACGGAAGTCAAGGAGTGAGCCAAAGGTCAACTGAGTCATAATAAAAACCCGGTCTTAAAATGGTCGACCCAGAACCATGTAAAGATTATGAAGGCGGCGCAGCTATTTATAGTTGGGAGTGTCCCTTACTAACCTTCACTTACCCGGGCTGTGATTGTGACTCAACTGATTGAAGTTTTCCCAAAACGACACCGCCACCCAGTCACGGACAGATCCCAGTGCTGCAGACGATCGAAGAGCTCCTCATCCGCCCCTGACGGCAAGCTGTGGAAAAAATGACAACCTGGAACTTGGCCACGACCAAAATGGCTGTGGGTCAAAACCAATGGGATCCCATTTTGGGGTAGGTGCACCACCCATTTTAGTCTATTTTAGTGGATGTTCACTGAGAATTCGGGATTTTGACCCATGGCCAAATGTGGGCTTTTTTGCAGGCCCCCACTAAAAAACAACAAAAACAACTTGCCGAGGACACCTAGCATTAAACGGGTCTATCCCGAATCAGGAGAAGAACAACAAGGGCAACAACGCCAACATTGTGGCTGGGACTATTCCTTACTCACCTTCATCTACTCTGGCTCTCATGTGCCGTTTGGAGGAAGATGCTCTTCAATCTTTGTAAGTGGATCAAAGGATAAAGCCTGGTGGTTGAAAACAAATCAGCATGTGCGGCCGATTTCGGTCTTATGAACCTCGGTCGATAATTTTTGTCCAGGACTCCTCGTGTTGTTTGCTTTTGGGGTTTGGACCCCTGGGGTGCGTGAACTTGACATGTGGCTGTCCCTTCAAGGAAGGTTGAATCCTACTTACCCCTTAAAACTCCAAGTTCTAGGGAAGTTAATCTTTTACAGACATATTGCCCATGTTACCCAAAAAGTTGAAAAGTTGTGTTTTTAAGAGGTAATCCTATGGCTCAAACCCTGCAACCCACAGCCTTCCCCGTCGGTGGGTTGCTGCCAAGTTTGATCGGTGGGTTGCGGCCAACTTCTCAGGGTTTGGTGCTGGGTATCGAATAAGACATGGGGAGTCTCCCAAATCTACTCACCAACCTGAGAAAAAAAGAAGAAGATGGGGAACACCAACAACATGTTTGTCTGTGATTTTTTCTCTGGGGGGAAGGAAAAAAAGGGATTTGATTTGGTGGAACAAATCAAACACACACACACACACACAGGCATGCCGTGACATGAAGCCAACGCCTCTCTGGAGGGAGGGTACCCCCTTTGCCACAGGGGTCCCGCTGTTCTGTGGCTAGGAAGAAAACCAACAAGAAAACCAACAGGAAAACCAACAGAAAGCCATTTTGGGGGGTCCAACCTTAATCTCACCTCGTGAGTGGATTGGCAAGGAAAAACAATGTGTTTTCATGTTCCACTAAATTGGTCTTCCCTAAATTGGTCTTCAAATCCAAGAACCCTTCGGAAGTGAATAAGCAACACAACACCCACATTTCCGCGGCCATCTCTCCCAATCTCCCAATCTCCGCGCGCGAAAAGGCGCGCCTTCGCGCGCGCCATGGGGCCTGTCTACCGCCTCTTTCTCTGAGAAGGCCTAGCGGTGGATAGGGCGTGGCCCGGGGCTTAGGTGGGAGAGGGCCCATCTGGCGCTTCCTTTCCAAAGGGGGCTGGGGGGTACTTGAACACCAAAAGTCATGATTCTCAGAAAACACATCTGGGTCCTCCGGTAGAGAAGCCAGAATAAGGGCACCCTTTTTTCTGTAGTCTATTTTAGTAAGGGAGGGTCAAACCCTCCCCCCAAAAATGGTACAAGGGCACTACTGGGGACCTGGACCTGACCGTGGAGATCATCCTAGGTTCTCCTCTTGTGAACTTCTTGACTCTCTCGATGGGCCCACCCGGACATCCTCGCTCCGCTCCCCAGAAATCGCGGGCAAAAATCTCCTCAGAATGATCCTCTTTTTCCGGTGGTTTCAGGGACACCCCCACAAGCTATCGAGAGAACCTCGAAATGCAGTCAGATTTTTCCATTTGCCTTTTTTTGTCCGTTGGAAAAAAAGAAGAGCATCTGTCAAGTGAAATCGATTCCCTTTAAAACCAACAAGGCAACTTGAAAGACATGTTCAATTGGCCATGGATCAAAATCTTGTACCCCCAGTGAACATCCCAATCCCCACTAAAATGGTACCATTGGTTTTGACCCACCGCCATTTTTCAGAAGATGGAAGTCAGTTCAGGCCGCCATAAAACGCCGCGCCTCCCCGAGCCTCTGAAGAAAGTCCAGACATTTGGCGAAGGAGCCGCAGTCAATGGACAGCCACAGAGGCGCCACGTGGGCCCTCACCTGCAGCTCCTGACGACAGGAAACAAATTTCCGGATGCCGAAGGAACCCCCCTTTGAAGATGGGCGTGTCAGGAACCCCCCTTTTGAAGGGGCGGTGGAACCGGGAAGGGAGAACAAGTGCCACAAATGCCTTTGTGGCCTGGATGAGTTTGAAAGGTTGGTAGTGAGCACTAGCCCGTGATAGACTCTTTGAACAGAAGGACCAACACAAAAGCGACACCCCCTGGTTTCTGTTCCAGAACAATACTGGTGAAACCCGTCTCTGCGCCAAAATGTCCTCCTGGTCTCAAGCTCCATTTCAGTGAGGCCCAAGAAAGGAATCTTCACAGGTCAAGCCGCACACCCAGTCAAGACATGTATGGTCGCTCTCATCTGCCCATTGCCGAAACAGATGCTCGAAAACGGAGTTCAAGCATATTCATGGTCGAAAACACGAGCTCTGTCCGCATATGTGTCACCCATTCGAGCAGCCGACATGAGGCGACCAATTTGTTTGAGCCCTTCGTTGAGGTTCGGGAAGAACAGGCTCACCAGGAAAATCGAAAAGAGCTTCTTGCTCCTGCTAGAAAGTGCTAAAACTATAATGTTGACCCAGGATTAATAAACCCGTCCCACTATTAGGGGGGTGTTCCCTCCAAGAGTGATGAATCCAACCACGTACTAAAAAGGGACACCCCCCGATCAAAATCAACCAGGGGTTCTGCTTACTCCGGGGTTAACATTAAGAACACTCAGTTGTTCAGTGACCCTGGAAAAAAAGGGAACCCTTTTTGAGGAAGACCATTTTTAGTGGGGCCACCAAAAAAAAGTTGGAAAACGAATTGGTGCCACTGAAGAACTGAGAAAACTCTAAGAACAACAAGATCTCAGATTCCAGGCTGCTTTCCAGGCCTGAGACATTGGGACACCACCCGACTCCAACATAAAAAGGCCCTCGGCCTCGTTGGGATGGCTTGAGATTTGGGGCTTTCGAGCGTTCAGCGATGAGAAACATGACGTTAACGGGTCACCATCAAAACCCGGGTGACTGAACTTGGCTGGAATTAGGACCCCAGCAAAAAAATATCTTTTTTGCCTGGTTAGTGGAAAACAAAGGGGACCCCAAAAAAGAGCAAAAAAGCAAAAAGGGGAGCTAATTCTGGTGAAGTAAAATGGTCGTCCCAGAACCATGCTAGAAGTCAGAGGCCGTTCATCCGCAGCTCTTTGTGGCAAGGGGATTGTCCCTAACCTTCAACCCGAATTTCGGCTTTCAAGCATCGTTCATTTCAAAAACCGGCCCGTTCCCTGGGTTTCCGGTGGTTTGCTAGAAAGATGCGGATCCCTGGGTTTATGGAAATGGAAGCAACCCTCAGAAAAAGGGGTGTTCTGCTTGTTTGAGGGGAGCCTGTTTGCTGCGGTTCGGGGGAAAATCATAGGATAGAAGGAAGCTCGCCAGCTTTGAGGATTGCCATTGAGACGAAGCGAACATGAACCAATGTTGAGCCCTGGTTCAAAAAAAAAACCGGAAGTGCAGCAAAAAAAAAACACGGCAGTGCAGCAGCACCAGAGACAAATCGATCGGTCCCTCACGGACTCCAAGGGCATGGCCACGCTGCAGCTGAAGCCCTGCAGTCGCAGCAGCTGAGCTTCGCTGCAGGGCTCCCAAACCTGGCGAGAGACGTCTGAGACTCCACCCCGTTCGCCTGGAAAACCGCGGAAAACCACTCTTTTGCCTGGAAAACCGGTGTGGAGTGGCGGAAAAAACCACTCTTATTTGTCTGGAAAACCGGCGAAAACCTGTTGCCCACTCACTTGGCGAGTGACCAGCCCAAAAAAAAACTACACTTTTTGGGCTACCACTCAAATACACGGAAAGAGCCACCAAGGAAAAAAGTGTAAAGTGTGTCCACTGACTTTGGGGTGTCCACCCCTTTTGTCTGGAAAGGGGTTTGGATTTGCGCGCGTTTTTTGCGGATGTGGTCACCCTGCTGGAAAAAAAGGTTGGAGAGGCGTTCTTTTGATAATTTGGTCTGGAAAACCTTTTTTAATGCGCGCTTTTTGTGGGTTTCATCTGCCCTTCCTTTGTGTTGGTCCCTTCTTTTAGTCGCATCTTTCCACCTAGGCTTTGGTGTGTCCACCCTTTTGTCTGGAAGACGGGTTTGTTTGTTTTTTTGCGCGCGATCTTTTGTGGATTTCGTCTGTTCTTCCTCCTGTTGGTCCTGGTTCTTTTAGCTTCATCTTTTGGTACACTTTTGAGATTCTACAACCACATCCAAAAAACCATTCTCTAGATTTCGGAGGCATTGAAGTGGTCACTTTCTGGGAGGGGCGGACATGCTTGGCCACCAAATATGCTTTACCCACCCCAAACCTCAAATAAAAATGGGTGTCTCTTGAAATTGGAATCGGACCCCACAAAGTGGTGCACCATTTTCTTTTCGTGATCCTTAAGCTCAAACGAATACCTTTCGCCTCAAAGACGAGAGCCACCCATATCGCACTTCCAGGAGCTTTTTGTTTATGCACAGAAAAGTACAAAGACGTGTCATCCATATGTCGCCGTGGTCAAAACTCGTTGTATTGTGGCCTATGGTCATGGTTCCCTTCAAGCATCATCAGAATGGTTAAGGATACTTACCAATGTGGTCATCCTGCTAGCCTCAAGTAAAGGGCTCTCCTCATTTTGTCAGTGGATTGGCCAAAACCAGTCTGCACAGTTTCGTTGCCACTAGAATGGTCCAAGCCCAAAGAGTGACTAAAGTCCGAAACGGAACTCAGCGAGTGAGTCTTTCCTTGCTGGTTCTCAGCCGGGAATGAGAAACGCAATGTCCCCGAAGAGACCCATCCATCCTATGGTTTCTTTTCTTCCCAAACAAAAGCCACCTAAGCTAGCACCACCAGGTGAGGCAATGACCTTCATAAACCATACCTTGGTTTCCTTTAAGGGCCTACCTATCGCACCAGCAAGCTTTGTATATGTTCAGAAATGAACCCCTGCTATGAACCCCTATGGACTACCTCACCCTTAGTTCTGGCTTGATGGGAAATCAGCCCATAACTTGGTTGACGTTGGAAAGCTGTTAAGTGGGGATTTTCCACTAAACCACAATAAGCAAAAATGTAAAATATTTCCCAACAACGACCATGATAAAGGGTCCAAATTGGCCGTGGGTTGGTTTGCTTTCCGCATCTTTTGCTTCCGAGGCGCGGAGGTCGGGCCCAGCTGAGACCGCAGCACCACCTGGTCCCCGTCCCCGGACAGCGCCAGCGCCGCGTCGCGGAACCGCAGGCGCAGCACCTCGACGGCGACCGCTTGGGGGTGCCGTTTTGAGGAGACTCGGAGTCTCCAAGAATGGAGACTGCTCGGTTTTCTTTAGGAATCGGAGGATCGTGAAAAAAAAATGTGATTTTTACTCCGCGCCCCCAAAAAACGATATGTTTCTTGGTTTTCTTTAGGCATCGGAAGATCGGAAAAAGGTGCTTTGTCGCGGTTGTCCTTTGGTGACCCTTTAAAACCAACCAAAAGGGGTACAGTCCGGCACCAACTCCTTGTAGGCGAGGCACCCATTTGGGCCCGTCCATGGAAACACCCCCTTTGAAAGGACCGAAACCAACCCTTTGGGTATGTGTGGTTCTGTCCTTGCGGTTTGCCAAAGGGAAACTCCTTTCTTGGAACCCGAGAATCGGGCTCCCAAAAAGGCGCCCACACGTGGAAACCCAAAGTCTAGGTTGCTGCCAAACTTGCAACTGCCCCGATCTGTTCATGTTGCCGGAATCCGACTTTGTCACAAGGCAGGCCAAAGGCCCTGCTTGAACATCCAAGGAAAATACGGCGGGTGGGAGCTAAGATCCCCAAAGTGAGGCATCACCAAAAACGATCATGAGTCAGGCGGCCAAGTGTAGGGGCCCTTTTAGAGAAACGAATCCTATCTTTGGAAATGCTCATTGAAACAGAGGGAATGGTGTAGAAACTTCTTTGGAGGGAAATGTGACAAAATCCTCTGGAAGGGCGTTAAAAGGAAGAACTGGATGACGTGGCCGCCAAATTCCATGTATACGCATCTGAAACATCACCTCCCAGGAAGTTCCTTTGTAGTCGTGCAGGATCATCCAGCATCCCGGACGACTTTCCGGACACTTGGAAACATGGAGGAAAAAGCAGTGGGAGGCTCCGTAGAACCTGTTGTCCGTATGACCCGGCGGCTCTCTTGTGGTTTTGTTCTGCTACAAACACCCAAACAAAGTTCGGCGGGAACAAAGGTGGGAACCTATTTTTAACAACATCTACGATCACCTCGTCTCCTCCCCATCGCCTTCATTTACTCAAATGGGCATCTGAAACCGACGAGAAGTGTCTGATCTCAGGCAGGAAAAATGGTTCAATTGAGCTTGCCTGTTCGTATGTGGCGAGTCGTCAAAACAAGAGGTGTGTTTTTGGCGCAACCTTTGTGCAACATCTGCTGACTTGCTTACAACAGTGCGTTTAGTTTGTGGGCCAATTTGGGAAACGGCCTCGAATCGGGAACAACACATTAGCTGTGAGAATTTTGCTCTCCTGGGGGTGATGGTCATGGATCCCTTGATGCAGCTCTCAATAGACATCATTCCTTGAGGCGATCACGACCATGCCCCAAACACACACTTCAAGAAAAAGCATAGGCCACAAACAAGAAGGGGTGTTTCTTATTTCAGTCTACACCTGGGCCCTGCTGAACCCCAACATTACCAGGTTCTAGAGACACTTCACAAACCTTGGTATGGGTTTGCAAAATGCTTCTTCTTTTTTCAGCCCCCCCAAACCTAAAATGAGCAGAAACAAAAACATCAGACAAGTAAAACAACAAGCTTGATCCAGAAGAACGGTGAAGGTGACAGCTTCTAAAGAGGACTGGGCCTTTGGGCGCGTAGAACCAACCCATGTCACGTCAAGCAGCTGGGCTGTGGCCCAGGAAGAAGTCCACATCGAGGCGTGGCAGTTGCCTGAGGACCCTACCTGCAACCCCTGGTGAATCCGCGGGAGATCAAAGGTAAAAAGTGAGTAGCTGAAAAGCTCGTTGAAACCCAACCACTGAACCAGGAACCAAAGCTTCTGCTGAAACCCAGCCACTGAACCAAGAACCGAAAAGACGACTGGGAACCGAAAAGATGACGGGGAATCCCCGAGTGGGAGCGTAGGTGAACCAGTCCGCACCCTTTGGGAAAGGGGCCAGCCTCGAGCGGGAGACGTAACAGAAGGAACTCAGGCAGGTCCAAAAGATGGTTGCCACTACCCCAAACCGAGGCTATATTTCAAACGGGTCATATGGGATATACAGCAACTATAGAGTCACTTTTTGTTAGGGGCCCCTATATGCCAAGAAACCGCGGGTAGCTTCGGTTTGTGGGTAGTGGAACCCATCGTAGAAAGGGAACCGCTCGCGGCCTCCCCATTTTAGGCGACAGTAGGAAGCCCAATGGATCTATCAACCCGGGACAGGCCAGGCACAGGACCTGTGCCGCCGGACCGCTGGAGCTGTGCATGTGAAGCCTTACAAACAAACCGAAGAGCCCGAAAAGAGAAAGGCCAGGGTCCGAGTTCCGAAGTGTGCCACCGCGATGTGTGCCAACATCGCGCTTGCCAGCATGTAGATCTATAGATGCACGACTGCCCTTGCACCTCAAAAAACAGCAACGCGTGAAGCCGATCTGAGCATGGCCGCAGCGACCTTTGAAGGCCACAAAAGCGCCACCCCTCTAGGCCGGGGCTGGGTCGGTTACAAGTCTCTGCCATCACACTTGACATGGTCGCGAATTGAAGCAAAACTGACCATGCGTTGTCCATCCGGTTTCAACACCCAACCCATCCATAGTTGACCATGCTTGATCTCTAGACCTTCTCTCAGCCGACCTGGGCAGGACGCTGGTCTACCCTCTTGGTGAAAGAAATCGTGACCGGTTCCGAGACTTTTTCGATGGGGCCAAGATGAACCCCAACCAAAATGGGTCCAATTTGCATCTCGGACTGCGTTCGGCTTGTGGTGCTGGTTTCCTTTTGACATGACCCAGGCTTTGTCAGACATCTCCAGAGCCATACAGATTTCACCTCATGAGGGGGTGCCAAGCAATTCAGTGAACAACGTCAGCACCCATCGGATTACAACAAACTCCCCATTTTCTTGGTGGAACTCCAAACTTCGCGGCGCAAAGCCCTCAATGGCCAGTGGCTTCAAGCCATCCGCGCATCCCCGCTTTGCCAAAGCGGGAAAGCCGGCACCACGCCCCACGCCCATGTCACCACGAGAAAAAGGCTTCGGATTCATTTCGGTTTTTCAAAAATCCAAGATGCAGCATCAAGGAGAAGTGCCAGTAGCGCGGCGAGGACAGCTCGACTGGCCCAATTTGGACGTCTCGCTCGAGAATCAATCCGCGGATGGAGCAGTTGGGGGGGGCCCTGGGATCCTAACTCACTTCCGACGGAGTGGATTGGCCAGAAAAAGTCGAAACTGGTTGTTTACCACTAAACTGGCCCAAGCCCAAAAAGTATACGGTAAAGGCCAGAAACTCAAGAAGTGAGACCTAAACAGAGCGATTTCCCTGGGCTATCTAGCAGGTCTCAGCCTAGGCCCGCAGTGGCCCCCGTATGACAGGCTTTTCGTGAGATGCGAAAACTGGACTCGGCGGCTTCTGATTCTTCGGGCATGCTGCGCGTTGCTGCTTTTATGGCAGCTTGTTCCCGAACTGCAGAGTTCTCCATGGGACAGCTCCTTTTCCTGTGGACATGATTCATGAACATATATATATATTATTCTACTAATGTACTACACAATGTGTATATATGTATATATGTATATGTGCCCCAATCGGGTTGCAGAGAAAAATAAGAGTGGTGCAGCGCAGCGTGCCAATCAAGTCAAACATGCGCTGTTGGACAGGTGGCCCAATTTGTAATAATAAACTGACCAATTGAGAACCAAACTGAAATCGCTGCCATCAATACTCAACACTAACCAAACAGCTGGCGCAGACAGCTGGCGCAGACATAATGTACCACAGGCAGTGCAACACTCATTCAACCGGAAATTGAATGAAATACGCGCTTGTTCGAATGCGCTCCGAATTGATCAAACGTGGATCTAGCTTGATACCGACAAAGCAAACCAAGTGCAGCAAAACACAACAACTACTCCGAGCATATCAGTCTGAAAGCGTCAAATTGGCGTCAGCAGCGCAGGAACTGGCGAAGGAGCTGCTAAAGGTGTTCCTCTTCTCCATGATCGGCACCACGTCCTGGAGGATTTTCAACGGCTCCCAGAGTTGCTCATGTGTGTGTGTGTGTGTGCCTGTCTGTGTATATCTACGTACGTACCTATGCACATATAGATAAGAGCTATGTATGACCTACCAAGCACCGAGTGCCGAAAACTTAACGTTCGCACACCGGACCGACACAGGATAGCCCCCATATCAATTGTAATGTTTGTTTCCTAGCACTGGACAGTTGAATAGTCCCTCTCTCCAAGATGATTTTCACTAGCCCCCACACCGCGACCGGATCCTAGGGAACAAACGAACAAGTGGATCTACAGCAACAATACCTGAATCCCTCGCGCAAACAACTGGCCATTCGGCGTACGGCAAGTCGCACAACGCTTGGACTAAGGCCAGTGGATAAGACTGGGAGACCATGTCTGCATGTTTCGAACAGCCTGAACCAGTAAACAGGGATCCTTACATTATACACCTGAACATTGCACCTTGTAATGGTGGTTTCCCTTATTTTGGTGGAAAAGGCCATGTTTCAAATGGTTGCAAAATGGAGATCTTTTAAGGAGCCCTGGCAAACGGTGTTAGATTCATGGTGCTGCAGTGTCGCCCTTTTCGTGGTTGACCCAAAAACTCCGACCTTGCCGAACCAAAGAAAAGCAGCAACACTGGCATACTGTGGATGGACGAAATCCTGCACCACCTAAGAAACCCTGGAACAATGATTCCCTGTAAATACCAACAAACGATATGGTTTTAACCATGGGTTTCAAAGCAGTGCAGGATTTCTTCCACCCACAGTATGTCATTGTGCTTCTAAAGATAAGCGCTGTCGTGCGCTCTGCTTTGCCAATGCCGGAAAGGCACGTGACCCACGCGCCAACAAGTCTTTTCAGCAGGAAAATGGGTGTGGCTCAAAATTAAACAGGAGGGGTTACGCAGGTTTTGGTCCATGTTTCCACTTACCAGGGTTCCATTTTGGTACCGGTTTTTTGAGCCATACCCAAATGATTCCAGCCAGCCCCGCAGAAAAAAGCCCCGCGGAGGTCATCTTTCCAGCAACCCGCACATTTCCGGCGACTTTCGGTTGCTAAGCATCTCTACTCTTGGTATGGGCTTGCAAAAAACGTTAACGTTTTTTGCAGACCCCCAATAAAAATGAACAGAACAAAAAAACTAAAAAACCAAAGGACATGCCAAGAACAGTGAAGGAAGGATTACCAAGCACACAAGGTTCCCAATCAGGACAACCGCCATCTTGATTCCGGAGGTAAGCAGCAGCAATGCCCAAAACAGCGAAGCACTGCTACTACTCAAGAGACCAGCATCGCGCGAAGCGCCTGCTTGCCTACTTGACCACTTGCCCAGTGGCCAATTGGAAAAGGAATCTTTCTTCTTGCCCATCCGAATCAAGTTGAGACATGTTGAAACGTTGGATCCCATCCAAGTGGACTGATTGAATCCACCAGCCCGGACCTCTTGAAACTATCCAAAAGTAAAAGAAAGGAAAGCGGACCAAGCAAACCAAACATATATTGTCAACCTCCAAATGTTCGTTGCCAACATCCAACAGAACCTGAAACGCCGCCCCCCCCCCCCCTCCCCCCTCTCCCCCCCTCCTCCCCCTCCTCCCCCCCCTCCCCCCCCTCCCCTCCTCCCCTCCTCCCCCCTTCCCCCCCCGCCCGAAAGCTGCTCAGATCGACAAAGCTTCCTGTCGCGCGGAGGACCAGCGCCGCAGGCTCTGCGTCAGCAGCGCCAAGTCCTGCGGCCGCAGCGCCAGCCGCAGGGGCGACACGTTCAGCTCCACGTCCTCCGAATGCCGGGTGGGGGTGGGGGGATCCCTATCGCTGCCTTGGTGGGTGGGCGGGTCTTTATTTATTTTTTTGCCACACCCTTCTTAAAGTTGTTTTAGTTGGAAAGCAGAAGGAAACCACCATCTTTTTTGTGTGTGTGTGTTTGGTTTTTTTTTGGGGGGGGTCTGCTTAAAAACAGGCACGCCCAAGTTGGCCGCCTGGTTGTTCTTGTTTGTTCCCCACAAATGAGGGATGAAATCCGCCCGGGTGTTCTATTTACATGGCCGAACACCCAAGTACCCCGTCCAAACTGTCGGATGCAAACCACGGCTGTTTTGTTTTGTCTTTTTATTCCGAGCTCTGCTGCGTTTTGCGAAGAGGGGTCGGTCGTGTTTAAACGGGTGTGGGGCAAAAATAGGGCAACCCCAAAATGGGTTGCCGGATCGGTAAATGGCCCGTAACCCGGGGTCCAATTCCTGGTGGTGACTAGTTTTGACCCATGCCCAACTGGGTGTGGCTCAAAATTACCCAGGAGGGGCAAACCGTAGGTTTTGGTCCATGTTTCCCACTTTCCAGGGCTTGCGCCAATTTGGAGTTCCGGTTTTTTTGAGCCACAGCCAAGTGGCAACCACTAGCAACATGAACGCATGTTTGGGGACTCGACAAACACCCCAAATGAACTTGAAGAAAATGTGTACACTTCCTTGGTTGCTGTAACGACCCCTCTCAGCAAATGTGTTAACCAAAAGGTGGATCCAATGGAAAAAATCCGGTGTTTCCCTAAAAACTACAGTCCCAAGATCCAACAAAACAGCCATAAAGCTTCAACCGTCGCAGTCACAAGGTTCCTTCCCCCTCCCAACAGCTTTTTGACCACCTGCTGTGAATGGCTCATTCGCCCCATGGGCAATATATAGCTTAGCAAAGCCGCTTGCCCGAAGATTTGGCGGGGCCAACATGGTCGCAGTGAACATGCAATGAACAAGATGGAGACAAGAGCGTTTGCTGCTCAGCTGAAAGGCCAAGAGAAACACCTGGACAGGTACTACTGTGGACGGACGAAATCCCTTCGCGCCACTTTGAAACTATTGAAATCATTACGTTTGTCGGTCTTTACCAGGCGGATCGAATCATCATTCCAGGGTTTCTGAGGTGGTGCAGATTTTGTCCATCCACAGTATGTTACCTGTAAGCAACATGCTGTGGAGCGTGCCGCATTTGTATGTTTGCTTCCACATCTCTGCTCTGGCGATCCGATTGCCCTTGGCCCAGCGTGGCTGTAGAGCCATCCCAGCTCGGAAGAACGTGCAATTCTCAAACATGCCTTCACTTCTCCGTGGTTGGCTTCCGTTTTTGCACACAAAAAAAAGGTGCCCTTAACTTACCCCTTAAAACTCCCAGCGCCCTGGGGAAGTTCTCATCTTTTACAGACATATAGCCCATGTTACCCAAAAGTTGAAAAGTGGTGTTTTTAAGAGGTAAGTTAAAAACACATACCCAAACCAATGCAAAGCTTCGGAGCCCAACGTCTCAGCGCGACGCCTGCTGCTTCAAGGAGAGGGTGATGGATTGGCAGTGCAGAATCCTGGAGTTATCCAGGCGAGGAGAACCAGCCCTTTAGCCCAATCTGAGGCCCTCCCATGGGTAAAATGGGTGCGTCTCTCTCTTTGTTGGATTCACAATTTTGTTTTTCGTCAAGACCAAAAGGAAACCTCTTGCAATTGGGGCTTTTGATGGAGACAAACGCGAATCAAGCTGGTTGTGTACAACACATGTTGGAGGTGTTGCGCTTTCATGGACAGATCCAAGTTCCCATCTGTCAACCGTATATGGGATCTGGCCTGTGTCACAACATCGCCGTACACATGCATTCAACGTCGGGGCCGAGCTTGTAGGGAGCTTACATACAAGTGTAGAACCAGCATGGGTGCCTTTAGACCAGGGCTGTGGGAAATGACCACTTCTGTGATACAACAAAAGGGTATCCCAAAGACTACCACCCCCATTTAAACAGGGGATTCCCTAGTCACAGAAGTGGGGATAACCCCTTGATCCCACAACCCTGCTTTAGACAAACCTGGGTGCCTTCCAAGGTGTCCGAACCTCTGAGCAAGTCAAACATCACCCTCAAGGCTGACCCTTGGTAAGCGAGGCAAGCGCAGGCAAGCACGGAACCATGGTCGGATCTGGAAGCCGCCAGAAAGAGGTCGGTGACTTTAGTTGAACACTCAAACTCCGCGTTTGAAGGCTATAGACTTCATGTTGGCCAGCGGCCTGCATCGGGTTTGACTTAAGCGAGTCAGGGTGAACCATGATCTTGTGGAGAAGTCATGTCTGTGCCCCACTAAAAATGAACCGCGCAAAGCGCAGAAAGGTCGATTCAGGTCGACAAGGGTAAAACCCAAACTCGTTGTCCTTTTGGTTTCGTCTCGCCTCAGGTCGACAAAGACGCAGATCCACAGCTGTACGCAAGATTGCACCGACTTCTATACCTACCGCCCCGCATGGAGACGCGACGACAACATGCAATACAATTACTTTCCGCTTGGAGCGTGAATCTAAAGAATCAGGGAGGCATAGGGCGTAGGGCGAATTGCATTGTGCAAAGCAATTCAAACGCGTCTATGCGTGCAATGGCCCTGCCTTCGCAACGGCGCTGATGGAACCAGCCTCATATCCGATGCGACGAGCTCAGCATTGCACAACATCAGCCGGGCATTGCAGCACGGTCCGTGTGATCCACTGCACGGTGTACGACTCACGTCCGCCCTGAACGCGTCGAAAGACAGAGGTGCCGCCGCCGATCCCAGTCGTTACACGTGCGTGGCGGTCCACGTAGTACCGCAGCTGCCACCGTGGCGCGCAAACCCTCGGCGGGGGTTGGAGGCGACCGGGCGGGCGGGGATATGATTTTAGACCAAATTCAGAAAAAGGCACGGGTCCTCATAACTCTCTCACTTTGCGGCTGTGCCTCGTGGAAGGCCTGACACGCTTCGGCGACGGCGTCCGTGAATTCTATTCGAAAGAATTGCCTGTCTCCATCTTGGCCATTGGCGGTGCCCAGACGCATGTATTGCGTCAGAATACCCTCCCTCCAACTAACATGGCAATTGACAGGGGCTCCCTTCAAAGGAAATGAGTCTTCCAGGTACCTCCCCACAGGTGCCATGTTAGTTGGAGGAAGGGTACCCTTTTTTCCAAGAATTGTCTGGGCGCCAAGGGCGTTGAGGGGGCCTCCCACACTCCACACCCATGTGTCCAGGCGGCCATCCAGCGCCTGGAGCATTTGTGACGCACGGCGCATGTCTTCGGAGCTCTGTGACCTCTTGCGCCGACGCCATGCTTGGGGGGAATCCTGTCGAGGTGGACCAAACTCAACTGGCCAGTAGAAATCACAAGACCCAGCCTAGGTCTTGCAGTAGAGAGCCTAGAATCAGGGTACCAACTTTTTTCAGGACGTTTGTTTAGTTTTAGTAGAAAAACCCTCCCCCCAAAAAAGTTGGGTGAGAAAGGGCACCTAGCTGGGGGACCTAGCAGCTCATCCTTGAGGGCTGTCAGGGCAGTGGCCATATTTGCTGGAAGTGCTAAAGGCCTTCCTTTCAAGGCCTGCTATTGCCTGAGCTCCTGCCTCCAAGCAGCAGGCGAGTGCATGGTCTGACCATGCACTCACATGGTAGAGACTTAGGGCGTTCCGAATTTTGCTGTTTGATTGAACCAAAAAGGAATTACAGCAGCGTGTTGTGAACCAATTGAAGCATATTCTAGTGAAGGAGCTGTTGGAGAGGAAGTTTGATCGAGCTTCTGTGGCTTCCCCCCAAACAACTGTAATTAGACATGCGGTCCTTTCATGTGGTTTCAAGCCAGAAACGCTACCCTTCCACCAACTAACATGGAAGTGCACAGACGCCTGTAGAAAGACAGCTTTCCTCTTGGAAAGAGTGTTTGTGCACTTCCATGTTGGTGGCAGGGTTTCCATTCACAACCATTTTGGGGTTTCCCTAGTTTCTTTCTGCCCCACACCCATATGAAGCCTAGCCACCCCCTCCCACCAACCTCCATTTGCTTTAGTCCCTTTAGTCCAAAAATAAGAAATACTTGACCAAAAATAGAAATACTCCCCGTAGTGATAGATTCCCTTTAAAACCACCGGGGGAAAACAAAACATATTCTTCACCAACCGGGGAAAATAAAACATATTCTTCACCAACCGGGGAAAATAACACATATTCTTCACCAACCGGGGAAAATAAAACATATGCTTCACCAACCAGGGAAAATAACACATATTCTTCACCAACAGGAAGCCAATGCACAAGCCCACTCCTCTCCGGGGCCGTCCAGGTGCCATGCCCGGGCGCCGGCAGCGAGGTGTCCGGCAGCGGGGCGGACCAGGCGAGAAGATCGCCTCGGGCGTCCCCCAAACCGCGCCCAAGCTGGTTCGTCTCCTTACCCCTTAAAACTCCAAGCCCTGGGGAAGTTAATCTTTTACAGACATATAGCCACATGTTACCCAAAAAGTTGAAAAGTTGTGTTTTTAAAAGGTAAGTCTCTTTTTAGGGGGCGGGGGGGGGGCAGGGGGCGGGTGGATCCAGATTTGAACAGTGCTTTTTGTTGGTGGTTCCGGGCCTATACACTACTTGCACGCCTACGCGGAAGCCCTACGCCGCTGCAAAGGATGCCTACGCGAGCACAAGTCAGCTTCCAGGTGCCTACGCGGACACCTTGGCGAGCAGATGTTCAGTTCAAGAGTTGAAGTGCAGTTTGGCAGCTCCAACTGGAAAATCGCAACTGTTCAGTACAAGAGCAGTTTTAGCAGCTCCAGCTCTAAGATCACCTTTGCAATACAATTGAGAATTCACATCTGTTGAAGGATCTGACTGCTAGAAAAGGTCTGCGTACTCTAAAATGCCTTGAAAGCCTACGCGAATGCCTACGGGGGGCCTACGCGGAGCCTACGCGAAGACTGCAGAACAAACGGAAGGAAGGCAAAAAAAAAGGAACTCCGTTTTACTTGGCAAACAGGAGTGAGCTATGACTTGTTCAAACGCCTACGCGAAAAGCCTACGCGAGGGTTGACACAACAGCCTACCCGCAGAAGCCTACGCGACCAACCAGGATTGCCTCCGCAAAGTACACGCAGTTCCCTTTTTGAAAAAACCCTTTCATTTGATCAAAAACAGGGTTGTGGGAAATGGAATCCACTTCTGTGATACAACAAAAAGGGCTTCCCAAAGACTAACACCCCAAAATTTAGGGGAGATTCCCACAAGTATCACAGAAGTGGTTGGATAAACCCCTTGATTCCACAACCCTGGTCAAAATGCTCGGTTCTGAACTGCCCTTTGCATTTCGTCATGTCGCAACCCTCACGCCAACTGATTCGCAGGCCATGGAAGCTGATCTAGGGCCCTCGACAGTCACGGATTGATTGGCAGGGAGGCAAACTGACTGGGCAAATTTGGATCAAGTTCCCCCTTGGCGATGTCAGGTTGCTGTTAGCGTTTCGAAAGGAAGCCGAAGGAGCTCAATGTCTTGTGGGGGTCCCTTTCTGGTAGAAACAGAAGGAACTCGTCATCAAACAACGAGTGGGCGTAGGTGTCTCGCTTTTTTGGTGGGAACCTCATGTTGGACACTTATATATGTATAAACAAAATTAAAAGCAACTATCATTTTTTGAGTTGAGGGTGCTGCAATGTTGAGACGTACCCATTTGTTCCCCGGAAAAGCTCAAGTCATATGGTTATAGTTTATTCAATGCTCCAACAAGAGCCAAAACATATGTCAAATCCATAATACACCCACGGGGAGCATCAAAGCCCGCGCCGGAAAGAGAAAAGGGGCAGACCGCTGAGCTCAACGATTATAACTAATAACGACCTGACTTAATGATTGGACGAAGACCGAGTTGCCAGGGGAATCACAAGTCTCCCTGGAGTCTCCATCACCCTTCACAAATGGGGTCATTACCCAAAAACAAGGGGTTGTGACCCCTTTTTCTAGGGGTCATGGAGACTCTAGGTCCCTTCCTGTTCAGAATCCGCGCCGGCGAACGAACACCATTGATTGCTAAGGGGTGCTGGGAGAATGATGGCTTTCCTTTGAAGGTCCTTGAGACCAATCTAACTCAGTACCTGAGTGGCTTGGCCGTTCAAGCCCGAATTTTTAATGGTAGCCCACATAAGCCCCGAAATGAGGCCTTATTAAGGGCTTATTTGGGCTTATTTGGGCTCCCTCCCCAAATCCCCCAAACCCCCCCCAAACCCCCCCCAAACCCCCCCAAACCCCCCCCAAACCCCCCCCCCCCCCAACCCCCCCCCCCCCCCAAACCCCCCCCCCCCCCCACCCTCAAACGTCAGTTCCCACCAATTTTTCGCCAGAATGGCCCAAGCCCAAACGTTCAAAGCCCGAGTTCTGCAAAGTCCGAGTTCTGGAACTCGGGGGGTGAGCGGGTAAGCCATGAGCTCAGGGATTTTTCCAATGCCATGGTGCTGAGCTCGAGGTCTGTGGCGTCCTGGCGGTTTTCGCACGACACAAGGTGCGCCAGCTGTGCCCTCCAATTGGTCGCAGATAGATGCATACAGGTTTTTACAGTGTTTTTAGCCTGGGCGTGGATCTTGGGGGGATGACAGTATATATAGAGATGGAGAGAGACAGAGATAGATGGATAGAGAAATGGATAGGTGGATAAAGCGAGAAATGAGATTGATGGGTATCAGCTTCCCTCCAATTGGTTTGGAGTCGAATCGGTGGTTTGGATTGGTCAAGGGGTAGTTTCCCACTCACCATCCATAAGAAGCAGGGGCTCAAATCCCCCAATCAAGAGTGTCTGTGTTCCCTGAAACGGGGGGAAAGTGTCTTGAATCTTGGGGACATGAGTGCTTGGCAAAACCTTCGCAGTGTGTTGGGGAGCATTTGAGTTCTTTGCCCAAACTAGGTTTTGCCGTACGGCACGTACCGCTGTGATCTGGGTCACTTTAATTAGGAGCCATTTTTCATTGGGGAAATGTTCCAACGCTACTACCTGGTAACTCCTTGATGATTCCTTTGCTTTTTTCTGTGGAATTCCCTGGATTGGCCCTCGTTTCCCCTGTGTTTTTTCCTGTGGTTCCTCTGTTTTTCCCTGTATCTTGTGCATTTTCCTGGGATCATGTTCTTGGAGACTGGGCGGTCCCTTCATGCCTTGGACCTCTTCCCGCAATGGCCCAAGGCTTCCTTGTCAGCCCAGGCTTCCTGATCCGCTCTTTCTCCCCCACAAGGAGGCAAAGTTCAGATCTTCCAAATTGAGGTCCTCCATATTCTGGGCCCATTATAAAGCAATTCCATTGCCACTGGTCACAGACCAATCCACTTCCATGTTTTTAGAACTATCCAATGCAATTCCAAGATCTTGGCCTGGAACAATGCCATTTCACTGAACATCCAATATAATTCCATTGTAATTGCCCTTGGGCTGAGCGATTGATGCTCCTCTCTGAGACGCACATGGTGGCTCAAGTGACTGAGGCGTTGGGTGATGTTATGACATTCCATTCCAAACCACTGTGGATGCATTGCTCTTGTCTCAAACGTCCTGTTTTCTCAGGCTTTCTTAACAGACAGATCCCTGGACATGGTGTCAAAAAGAACCCTTCCAGTTGAATTCCTTTGCGGATCCATCTTGGAATGGTCTTGGACTTGCCTTGGAAAGAAATTGATCGATTCCTTTCCACTTGCCGATCAAAGAGAGCTAGAACAAAAACACCCATGGTCTATGCAGTGACTCGCAGATTTTGGCCAACGACACGTTTGTTTGCTCCGAAAGGAGTAGTGGCCGTGTCCTTCGAGAGGTGTCAAGATGCTTGCGCACTGTCTCCACATACTTCCAAGTCAACCGGTCAGGGGCTCCTTCTGAATATGTTCTTGAAGAGATGATGACACAAGTATATGGCCATGGGTCAAAATCCAAATCGTGCCCCCAGTGAACATCCCAATCCCCACTAAAATAAACAAAACATGGGTGGTGCACATACCCCAAAACGGTACCATTGGTTTTGACCCACAGCCATATGGCGCAAACAAAAATAACTCATGACATCCCATGCTAAAGCCCTCTTTTGATATAGTTTGCCATAACTAATTTTTGCTCGACCGATTTTTTATCTTTAAGGTCCGGCAGCCAGGCGCTTGCTGTGGGTCTGTGTAAGCTGATCGCTGTCCAAACCCTGATTCAACGTTGGGCTATTCATGGCATTTCATACTGTGTCTGCCTCGAACAAGCCAATGACCCTTCGAAGGAATGTGGAAGCATCCACTTTGCCACTGCGCCTTTGTAGATGCCACAGCCCCGAAGAACCCAAAGAAGTCCAACCAAAACTGATACAGACAATCCAAGGGCGAGTTCAGGTCTACTAGTTGATTGAAAGGAAAACCTCTCCAGAACAAAAACACAACGCTGGCGGTCTGGGTAAACCTCAGTCCACTGTCTCCCCCCGTCTCCCGGCCTTCGGTGCGTGCAGCTGGCAGCTGAACACCAACGGCCGCAGTGCCTGGGAGCTCGAAAGACAGCCGGGGAAGATGAACCAACATGCTGTGGATGGACAAAATCCTTTTGGCACCACCTAAGAACCCCTAGCTAGGATGGTTCCCCCTGTAAACGCCAGACAAACAATGGTTTCCCATGGCTTCAAAGTGGTGCAGGAGTTTGTCCATCCACAGTGTGGAGCCGTGGTTTTTGAGGGTAGAATAAAGGGAACCAACAAGGGAACCCAAAGGGTTGTTGAGGGTAAGCAACGTGCTACAGAGGTGTAGCGGGGGTCCTTGTTCTGCAGGTGTGCAACCGGACAAGTGCTTGACCAGCACCACTAGCGCAATGCAGCGCAACAAAGTGCCGCAGCTCCAGCTCGGAAGTCGCAACTCAAGCGACTTCGAGCAGTGCGCAAAGCGCACCTCCGCAGCTCCAGCTTGGAGCTTGCAGCCCTTCAACGCCCCATCACACGCCCATCACCGAGACAAAGCGGGGTCCTGCGGAAAATCATGACACACGTTGCGCATGAGTCTCTACCTCTCTAGAAATGGCAAAGTCAAATATGAAATACTGCGGATGGACAACACTTGCAGCAGTCGGTAGGTGGTTTATCCCCTTATTTACAGGGCTTCACTCATCCCAAGTCCAAGTGGTGCAGGATCTTGTCCACCCACAGTAGTGGCAACATTCTTGGCGGCAAGAATTGAACCTGTGCTGCAAACCGCAGCTGCCCAGCTACAATGCATCTCCGTCAGATTGTTTCGAGGGCAAAAAAAAAGCAACATGCAGGCAGTTGTGCAGGCTAGGTAAGAGATTCAGCCTGTGTGGTGCAGTGACCTTCCATCCTGTCCTTGAAGGGGTGTGCTCCAATTTGTTGTCAAGCAGTGAACTTGGAGCGTTGTCCAATCGCATAGACAACCGCCAGGGTAAACCGTCGGTGGAGACGTTGAGCAGGGCTTCACCTATTTTCACCTAAGACCTCCCTTGAAAGAAAACAACACTCTTAAATACGGTTTCAAGACATGTGAATTGAACAATTGTATCAAGTAAAAGGTATCATGTTCAAGGTATATTGAAACCCATTGATTCAATGAAACAAAGGAAATAAAACTGGCCCATCCATAAGAAATAACGGTCATAGGGACCCTCGTTGTTTTGCATAGTTCGAGCCGGGACGCTCCACATGGAAGCAGCAGCCTCACCGGCTCCTGGCATGGATGAACCAGGTTCCCTTGGCCCCTCCTACTGCCATAGCAGCCTCTTTTCGCCATCCACATTCCATGAATGCCTCCCTCGGTTGCGAAATCTGCTCCCCTGCCAAAAGTGAACAACTGGTGATTGAAGTTTGACCCATGCCCACATCATGTTGACCCCATATCAATCAACCCCAGTTTGTCAATAGGGGGCGGTTTTTGGCCCCTCCAAAAGTGGTCTGATTCCCCACAATTCACCCAGGGACACCCCCCAAATAATAAACTGGAGTTGATTAATATGGGGGTCAACATTACACACAAAGTCGGGTCTACAAGTCATCAGAAATGGTCGCAGAATGTCGCTGATATCCGCGCTTTTTGTGCCAAGCTGTTTATGAGCCCTCGTCTTGGCCACGCACAAGCATCAAGCCCGGGATGAACGAAATGCTTAGAGTCAACGGGGACCCTCTGGTGGACATCGTTTCAGTGGGATTTATGTCCACCCACTTTTGAGGTTCCCAAGATCATAGCCTCACTTGAGTGGATTGGCCAGAACAAGTCGCAAACTTGTTGTCAACTCCGAAAAAGAAGTGGCAAGAGAAGCAGAGGCTTGTCTGAAGTGCTCGACTACCCTCCGACCCTTTTCACATGGAACCGTTCGATCTTCGGGAAGGAAAATGGATTAATTTCCATCACATGGGTCATCAAGGGCTTCAGGGGAAGTCAATTTCTGGTCCCTTAGGATCCCCTTGGCTCAACTCCACTGAAATGGGCACCCCAGTAGCGCCCTTTCTCGGCCTTTCTTGGTTGGGAGCTTCGGCTTCCCCGCTAAAACGGACCACAGAAGAACCACTTTGGGTACCGAGAAGTGCCCAGACCCCAGACGCCCAAAGCTGGTCGCCCCCCTCCGCAACGAACCCAGGTCTCCCGGCCTCGCAGCTCACGTGCCTTAGGGCCATAGGGCCATGGGCGTTTCAAAATCCAAAGCGGCTCGCCCCCAGTGAACATCGAATCCGAACCAATTCCCACCAAAATAGGTTCTAACAATGGGTGGTGAAATTCACCTACCCCCAAAATGGGGTCCCAAAACGGTTTTGACCCATAGAACATTTTGTAGGGAGATGGGCGTGGCTCGAAAAAATATCGTGGCCTCCAAGGTGGGAATCACCTCTCATCCAGAAAAGCCAGGCTTCGATTTTGGCTCACATGCGTGTGGCTCAAAATTTGTGTGTGGCTCAAGAATTAAAGAGCTAGGGTTACGCAGGAGTTAGTCTTTGGCAAAGTGCTACTTTGGGTTCCATTTTTTGAGTCACAGCCATGTCAGTTTCCCCCTAGCCGAATCGGTGGCTTGGTAAGGGGTGGTTTCCCATTTACCCTCTGCAAGACCTAGGTGGTCCTTTTAGGGCAAAAAGGAACACCTTTGTGAAAGAACCAGGTTGTCAATAGATGTGTTGATGGACGTGAAATCCATGCAACATGCACCTATCAAAGACACCCAGGTGTATGATTCGATTCCCCGAAAATACCAACAAACATTAGGATTTCAATCATGGTTTATCAAAATGGTGCGAACGGATTTCGCAACCAGGTGTCCTTTTGGGAGGAAAAACACACATCCCTTTATGAAACAATCAGGTCAGCCAACAGCACGTCCCCCCCCCCCCACCAAAAAAAAGAAACACATAAAACTGATTTTTGGACACTTGGGATTCTGGAAACAGCAGTTGTTGGGGTACTGGCATGGCCATCTATTTTCTACCGACCAAAAAGGACCATGGATGTGCCTTCCTATTCGGCTCAAATTGCAAGGGGTTGCACCTTCGTACCAATCTCCATGAAACGACAGGTGAAGCAAGGGAGCCAAAGTGCGGTCCTTCCACGCTTATCACGGACCCTTTGAAGGTGCGCTCATTACTTGGTTGACTTTGGAAGGGGAGCAAAAATTCAAATGTTGGCAGTCAAGTGGGGAATTCAACCATGCACTAAACCACAATAAGCAAACATGTAAACTGTTTCCCAACAACAACCATGATTAGGGCTTTTGAGCTTCGTGTAGCCAAGATAGGCTTTCAGGTCAGACGATGGAGCTTCCAAGAGATCTTCATTGGCCAACGCCGATCCCCTCGCCAGGCCGTTTTCCAATGTGAGCATAATATCATGCCTCTCCACTTGGAAGCACCACATCTGAAACAGAAGCCGGAGGGAAAAACAAGATGCAGACCTCACCCATGGACTCCTTCTTGGGGAATCACAACCCGAAGGTCTCGGACCATGTCTTTAGATAATTTCCATGTCCAAGCTTCATAATTTCCTACATCATTTTTTGCTTCGTTTGCGCTTGGCCAGTCCTGAGGCAGACCTGTCTCATTGATCACCCCACTTCCCTAGGCTCTGACGCTTTCTAACCACAAGCATGATTCATGAAATCATGAAATAGACCACCAGGGATCATATGGCTGTGGCTCAAAAAAGTGGAACCAAAATGGCACCTTGGTAAATGGAGCCAAAGACAAAAAACCCGCGTAACACTAGCTCTTTCATTTTGAGCCACACCCATATCTGAGAAATGACGAGGGCTGCTAGATATGAACACAGGTCAAAACACTAGAGCTTCGAGAGCATAACCCTGCGCCGGCAGACGCAATGCATGTCAAGACTTGCCCACCAAATATGGCCGAATCAACCCCCTGCCATTGTCTTCCATTTGCTTAAGCCCCCTGGCCAAAATAATAATATTTCCAGTAGTGATAGATTCCCTTTAAAACCCGCAAGGGAAAATACAACATGTTCTTTCGCAAATGGATGTTGTCTCTCGCCATGTGAATCTTTGATGCTTCACCAAGCTGAAATCTGGGAAAGCCCTCCTGTGGCTGGGATTCGATTCGCGGGCTCCTGACCTCGCAACAAGCTTCTGGAGCCCACGTTTGGCCCGACTTTGAACTCCGATTTCGAGCGTCTTCCGTTGTTTTGCGACCACTTGAGAAGTGGTCTGTGAGCATTGTGGGGTTGTGTCAGGGGAATTTCTAAAAAATCGGCGGCTTCCCGGCCTTTTTCAAACCTCGAAAACCACCACGCGCCAACCAAAAAGCGGGGGGGGGGGGAAGGGGGAAGGGTAGCAATTCAAAAGGCCACGGTCCCAGGCCAAGAGTTTGATTTATCTCCCCACTTCCCCCGCCAAGGGGCAACTCCGGCCAGGATTCCAACCTGAGAGCCCACAGGAGGAGCTCTCGGGCTTCACTTTTGTGAGTGGGATTTTTTCCTGGCTGCGAAATCGGGGAAGAAATGAACCCAGCTTTGGTGCCCGAATACAGAAACCAAGTTGGATGGTTTATTCATTTATAAGGGTCGTTTGCTTGGTCGACGTTGGGTTCGGGGAGCAACAATTTCACAATTTAGCAGCTAAGTGATTTGGATTTCAACCACTAAACTGCAATAAGCAAAAATGGGGAAAATGTTTCCCAACGACAACCATTGTTTTTCCTGGCTGGAGCGAGTCGGTAGGAATGAACCCAGTTGCTTTGGTTTTTTGGATGGTTTATAAGGGACCGGCCTCAAAAAGGGATCTTTGAGAAGTCGGAATGTGTATCCTCAATCTTGGTGCATCACTGTGTTTGCAACCTTCACTACTTAATTGCAATCTTTATGCCAGCTTCGGTGCACAACTCATGTTTGTTGGCTGGAATGAACATGTGAGCAATCTTCATCTGCCCAGCATTCGGTAAGTGTACCCTATTTCACCATCCTATCTATGGCCGTGGCTCAAAATATGGTAATTACCAAAACGGCACCTTGGTACATGAAGCCAACCGCTGAAACCCGCGTAACTACTTAATTGCAATCTTTATGCCAGCTTCGGTGCACAACTCATGTTTGTTGGCTGGAATGAACATGTGAGCAATCTTCATCTGCCCAGCATTCGGTAAGTGTACCCTATTTCACCATCCTATCTATGGCCGTGGCTCAAAATATGGTAATTACCAAAACGGCACCTTGGTACATGAAGCCAACCGCTGAAACCCGCGTAACCCTTCTTGAATTTGAGCCATGCCCATATTGGGCTCCTGCACAGAACCCAGTCCCTGAGCCCGGCAAGACCAGCGGCGCGGAGCCGGTCTCGGGCACCTCAGTGCTGCGAGCTCATTGTTTTGGGACACCACATGCTCGATACAAGGAAGAGCGACACTTCTCTAGTGGTACCCTCCCCATTCTCTTCAAAAATCCTTCTCTTCAAGTGGGCCAAACACCTGGGAAATAGATGGTTTCTAAAGAGAACGATGGGGGAAGAGAATGGGGAATCAAACCTTAGGACTTCCTGAGCTGACTGGCCAACAGAAGTTACCACACTTTCTGGTTGCCCCTAAAAGGGTCTTCAAAGAAAGCTTTGAGTCAGTCCATCGATAAAAACAACTGGTTGGTTGCCACTAAAATGGTATCTTCCTAAAATGTGTTCAAGTCCGGCAACTCGGGGAGTGAGATAAAACCACCGCCGCACGGCGATAAGCTCAGGCGGAGGGCCCGCAAAAGGAATGGTGGCGTGTCACCTCGCTACGAGCGCACTCCAAAACCCACGCACCATGCCTCAAAGGAGGACAAGGTGCCCTTGAACACGGGCACCCCCAACAACTCCTTTTCGACAATGGGGAAAATCAGTTGTCTTTAGTTATTTACGATTTTGGAAGTGAACAGCAGGGTTTTGAAGAATCCTCTTGATATGGCCCTCTGCGGCCACTTCCATGGTTCTTGGAAAAAGGGTAATCAGACTGGTGAAATGTCAACGTAACGTGGGTTACCAACTATATAGCAAATTGTAAGTTATGACAATATCTGTTATGACAGAAGAGTTGTCTCACACCTGTTCCCTCGCCCGAAAAGGAAACTAGGCCCGGGAATACAGAAAACTTCCCTCTCCTGGTGGCCAACAATAAACCAGCCCCAAGAGAAATTTAAATCAATCACATCCAAGCACATGTGCTTGATTGCAGTCTAAAGCCTGTCGGAAGTAGCTCGGGAAAGAACGATGAGCCCATTTAGACCACCGATTTTCACCGGGCTGGGGTGGATTAGCCCCACAGCAAGGACACTGTCAGATTTTTTTGGGGGGTCTGCCAAGAACTCGCCTCTACTCTGCCAAATGGAAAAAGCAATATTTATGGTGTGCCCGTGTGGTGTTTTTGGTGTACGGGTCGAAGCAGTGGTGATGGAAACATGACTCCACAGGCCCACTGCTTGGAGACTTGGAGTGGCACCATGATCTGACGGACACTCACGGCCAGCTCAGACTGGATGAAGTCTCCCAGCCTGTCGATGCGTCTGGGAAACAAATCTGGTTATCTTCCATTTGCTTAAGCCGCATGGTTTTTTATTTTACAGAAGCGATAGATTCCCTTGAAAACCAGCAAGGGAAAAAGCAAATGGAAGTTATTGAACATTAGGATAACAGCAGGTGTGTCTCCAACGCAGCAGAATTCAGCCCACGAAGCACGGGATGTGAAGGGGCAGTCCGCATTCCGCGCGCACTAGGCTTGCGACTCGCAACATCTCGCAACCATCTGCCGGGAGTGGATAGGGGAATAAACCAGTAGTGCTTGCATCTAGCAAGAACCTCCCAAAGGTCCATACGGCCAAAATGGCCAAAATGAAAGGACCGCTGTGACCTTCATCTATTTCACCATCCACCAATATCGAAACCGCCCGTGCCTTTGCTTATCTACCCGGAATGTGCTACCACTTCTATAAATGAAGCATCAGCAAATGGATATGTCGCCTTGTCTGAGTACTGGTGCACGGTATTGCCTAATTCTCCTCGAAAGACATGCCGCCGTTGTCGAATTGGCGGCCCTCTCTTGGACCCGGCGCCAGGTTCCAACGGTCATGATTTCCTTCATTGGTAGAACCGTCTAAACTGCGTAAGGGGTTGCTGACTACACATACCCACTCCGAGCAAAGTGGCGTGTTTACCATGAGGCAAATGTTAGGACCATGACCATGGATGCATTTCTTGCCACTGTATATGCTTCAAAGTATGTCTTCAATGTTAAGACCATGACCAAAGAATCCCCTTCCCATGTTCTTCAAGGTTGGTTTTAACATGGGCGTGTCCTTATAAATACTGATATACCCTTGAATATGGAACCATGGCCTGGAATACTGACCTGTACCAGATCTTGGACCTAAGAATGGGCATGCGGCAAAATAGGGAGTCCCCAAAATGGTGGTGTTCTTGTTCGTTGCCCTTTAGATCAAGTTAAAATGGGTACGTAGCAAACCACACCCATATGGGTGTACTGTTTAATCAACACTTGGTAGACGTGAACTGCACGAGGATGTGTCCACCCACCAGTTTGTTCTTAGAAATCATGGGCATATGATGTTCCCCAAATGATTGAACAGGGCTCCCCTCCCCCCACATTTCCCCTTCAAACATCACAGGCAACTCACCTGCCCCAAACTCCCTTGGTGGTTCCCCTCAAAATTCTCAGAACTCCAAAAACTTTGAGGTTCAACAAACAAACACCTCGGGCACATCAACCTTCCCTGGACTCCGGACCTCCGCTCTCGGCTCTCTGCTTTTTTCTTCTCACTTGCTGAGTGGATGGCCCGAAAAAAGTACCCAAACTTTATATTTACCACTAAAATGGTCCAAACCCAAAAAGTTTGTTCAGTTCATGAACTCAGGAAGTGAGAATTGTAAAATTTTGGTCTCCGGGCAGATCCAGGGGCTCGCCCTCAGGCAAGGAGTCCAAAAGGCCCAGGACTGCCAGGGCCTCCTGCGAGAGCCGAGAGCCGAAAAATCAGGCGAGAGGGGAACCAATGGCAACGAGACAAAGGGGGTTGGGAATGAACCGAATTGGCTGTGGCTCAAAAAACCGGAATTCCAAAATGGAACCCTGGTAAGTGGAAACATGGACCAACCCTGCGTAACCCCGCCTGTTTAATTTTGAGCCACACCCAATTTGGGGAGTCCTGAAAAAAGGAAACATAGGGGAATCGCCGCAGGGGAATCGTCTTCAGGTGCAAGATCTAAGGTCAGCCACTATGTCGCAGGTGACCGTTTGGAACAAATAGAAGGGTTTCACTGGTAGATGGGGAATAATACCAATCTAAACCGGTGGAACCCTTCTATTTTTAACCTCACCAACACTATGCTGAGATGTCAAATGCTCAATGGCCAGGGGAAACAAGGCCATACGTTTTTGGTTGGTTGAGTTTAAAGGAGAACCCTTTCAATACCAAGTGCCACTGGGCAATTGGGTATGGGTGGTGCGGATGGTTACCGAATCCAAAGCTGGAATGGATGAAACCCGAGTTGAATGGTTGATCAATCAATCCCCGCTGGTGGGCACCGAAACTTTGTCCATCACTATGAATGCCAATGGATTAACTTTGTCCATCACTATGAATGCCAATGGATTCCCTGGAATTGTCTTAGTCTCTGTTCAAAACTCTCCGAAAAGGCTGTGCCCTCAGTTTGAGACAGAGCATAGGTGAATTATCCCTATTTTGGCAGAGGCTTGCTCACGTGCGTGCGGCAGGGCAAATGTTCAACGCAGAAATTGGTTGCTGCACTTATCTATCCTAACTTGGTTGACGTTGGAAGGGGAGCAAACATTCAAATTGTAGCAGTTAAGTGGATTTGGATTTCAACCACTAAACCACAATAAGCAAACATGTTCCGACAACAACCATGCACTAAGGTCTTGGCACTCATCTGAGTCGGCCCCCTTCGGGCCTTCTGAACAGCATTTGCTTGACATGTAGGGCATGTTGGCCTGAAATGGGGGAAACGGGGCAAGAAAGGGCACGTGTCAACATAGGGATTCGGAGCCGCAAAATGACTTCACGGCTGATCCCTGTTGGCTTCCCACCAGCCAAAAAAGGTACCAACCTTAACAAAAAGACGAGCCGCCAATGAGGTTGTTTGCGCTTCGATAAGCGCGTAATTGTGAAACCAACACGCAAACAAAAACGAAAACGGGTTCGTGCGCGAGCTGTATGAGCCCTGGGCATATTTTCTTCTTCAGGACTTTTAACATATATTCAGGTCCCCCCCGCAAACTTGTGCTTGTCTGTCCTCCCCAAACCAACAGTAGACCACCAATGTTGTCGCCAGCCACCCTTGAGGGCTTGCAAGGACGCCCAAACAGGCTCCGCACAGTTGGTATCGAGGCCATGGGTTCGTTGAGGGTTGCAAAACAAAACAACCTGTTGCTGGAATAACCGTCTGTCCCGGAATCAGAACACTCCTGGGAGGCAAATCTATCACAAATCGCAGAATCACTCTCAACACTTGGTGGCGCGACCACAACTCAACAGATCAAAGATCAGTCTGGAGAGCTTGGAGCAACGTCACAATCGCTCCCCAGAACCGCCGAGTCTAAGCAAGCGGAAACAAAGCAAACTGCCTTCTGAAAAAGGTGGATTCGGTTTGGCGATTCAAAGGGAAACTCAAAGGAAACCATTGGTTTTAGGGGACTGGTATTTTGAGACACCCCCTACGGACGCTTTTGGAACCAAGTTCACCAATGGAAATGCGATGCCACACGGCAATAGGAACCAAACCCCCTTGGCTTCTTCAAAAATGGGGAAGCTCGGGGAGGTATCAGGAAATATCAGGACAACTCAGCAAACCGAGCCTCCCACTCCCTTTCAATCCGGGAAGCAATCCTAACAGAGAAGAAACCAACTGGAACCAACTGCTTTTTCAAAAACAACGAATAGGTATGATTTTTGATTGCGGACCCTTTGCTGGACATCATTTAGGTGGGGATTTATGTGTCACTTTCAGGAGGTTCCCTCTTGAACTCTTCGTAGCCACATACTGAACTCCCCGCCCACCTCGGGATCCAAGCGCAGGCGCAAGTCCCCGAGCCTGGTTTCAGGAAGAAGTCTCAGGTTTCAAGATGACTGGGGAAAACACCCAAAAAAAAAACAAGCTGGGGGAAAACCAGCAAAGGACTCCCTAAAAATCTAGAAATTTCTGATTTGGTGATGAATCTCAATACTCTGGATGGACGAAATCCGTTCGCACCACTTTGGAGCCATGGGAAACCATTGTTTGTTGGTCTTTATAGGGAGTCATCATGCCAGGGTTTCGTAGGTGGTGCAGGACTTCGTCCATCCACAGTATTACTTTGTTGTTCGTCGCTTGTCCCTATAGACCAGTTGATGCCGATCAAAGACAGCTTGGGAAAAACGGTGGCGTGATGGCGACAGTGTAACAGAATTTACACTTGCAGCAGGTCACTTGAACGTCACTCACCAAATTGCAGCGCTAGGATCAACCCACGTGAAGTGCTCAAGCCAGCAGATGCGTGTGCTGCTAGTAGCTGGGTCTGGAGGCTTACAAACGCAAAACAACGTGGCCAAGTGGGCAATGCAGCCGCTGATGACTGTATCTGGCTCCGGACCTGTTAACTGATGCCTGTAGGTCCTTGTGCGACCACATGGTTGCTGCCCGCCGACAATGAATCCAAGTGTGCTCTGCAGCAAGCCAAGAGCGATACCATTCATTCTGCGCCTCATCCACAACTCGGTCTTCGTGTGCATGTGTGTGTGTGTCTCTGTGTGTATGTGTCTGTGTGTGTGTCTCTGTGTGTGTGTGTGTGTCTCTGTGTGTGTGTGTGTCTCTGTGTGTGTGTGCATGTGTCTGTGTGTGTTGGGGGCGTCTTTGTGTCTGCGTCTCTGTCTCTGTGTGTGTGTTTCTGTATGTCTGTGTGTGTATCTGTGTCTTTGCTTGTGTCTTTGCATGTCTGTGTGGGCGTCTCTGTGTCTGTGTCTGTATGTCTGTGTGTCTGTGTCTGTGTCTTTGGGTGTGTGTGTGTGTGTGTGTGTGTGTCTTTGCATGTCTGTGTGTGTGTGCCTGCCTACCTTCGTGCGTGTGCGACCGTGCGTGGATGGATGGATGGGTGGGTGGGTGGGTGGGTGGGTGGGTGGGTGGGTGGGTGGGTGGGTGGGTGGGTGGGTGGGTGGGTGGGTGGGTGGGTGGGTGGGTGGGTGTGGGAGTGCTTGTGTCGCGTCTGAGATAGATGACGTAGAACCTCTCAATGGAGACATCGATGATGATTGGCTTAAACGAGATGATTGTCTTCAACTTGATGATTCAACATGAAGAATGACGACCATCCCAGTTCAGCCAAAGTTGCCATTTGTAGTCAACCTATGCTCGACGCGCAGCGGAAAGACTCCAGAAGTACAAAGCGCGGGTCACACACCGAGACTGTTTGCACGATGAAGGATACCTGCGTATATGCCAAACGAGTTGCGCCAGCAGGTACACACGGGATAACACCAACGCTTGATTCAACAGCTGACGATGAGAAGCAGGATAAAACAGGAGGATAACAACAATGCCGATGTTAGGTTGCTGACTCTGATCATGCTGATAACGCTGATAGTGAGGGATGAACATCCAACACAACAGTTGCGAGTTTTGCTATGAGCAACACCAGCACTACTTTAATACGCCCAAGCAAGCACACATGGCAAACATAGACGCATGGCATCCCGACGAGTTGCGCTCACCTGTCCGCTCGCACCAAAAACCTTACAAGAGCTCCCGCCTGAAAGTCGAGCAGCTCCGTCGGCCTCAGACTGTCAGACGGCCGACGGCATGTCTTGGAAAGACCCGAGTGAAGATATGCCAGAGCCAGACAAAGGGAGGGGGGCAGATGCCAACAATCACATGGCCCTCCTGGCCAATCCCAAGTTTGAATGGTTTTCAGGCAGTGGGAAATTCCTAACTCGCCTTTTTAAGGTCGGATCCTTCAAACTGGTGCTCCGTGTCGTTTCCCCTGTAACTCCCCAGATCCTGCTAAATGAGGGTTGATTAATATTCGTGGCTTGCAAACGATGATGGGTAACTTTTCCCGTGCGGGACATATCATCTTAGTGGTTTTCCCAACTGGTCATCCTATGCACATCGGACCTTTTGATCAACCCCGGATCTTTGCTGTGGCATTTTCTTCGGGTCAATCCGCGAGCACTTAAAGAGCCGAGATACGTGTTGATGTGCTTTTGCATTGCAGATCCTTTAGACTACATGCAGGCTGGGAAAGCAACAGGAAAACCAAAATTGGTCCAAATCCCCGGACTTGGAGTAAAGTCTGTCAGTTGATCATTTGTCTTGCTGGTGAGTGCGAGAGATGCAGGGAATGAGAAACCATCCAACTGGTGGTTTCCTTTAAGGGAATCCCCTTCCGGTTCATTCCCTCATTCCCTACCTATCGCACCAGCAAGCTTACATGCAGGCTGGAAGTTATTGGAGTGCACCCCCCACAAAAAAAGCTGCCTATTCAAGAAAGCTAAATACCTCCTTTTTGGTCAGGGGTCGACATCTTTGGAAGGGGTTCCCTCAAATGATTGACCATACCACTTTTCACCGAATTGAGAAAACTGAGCGAAACTGCCACCAAGCATTGAACGTCCTGGGCTGCCGGTCAGGCCGAAAAGCAAGATGTCTGAATAACTCTAAGCTACACGTCGGACATGATAAGTCTTGAGGGGCCAATACCAGTACGCTATGATAACCAAACTACGCATGATTTTGACCGGGATCATAAGAATACCCGACATCGCAAACGGATAGGGTACTGCCCATGCCATGAACCCGGTTTCAGCAAACAAGATCCTGCCCAAACAGATACATAGTGAAAGGGATGGCGCACGTCCATTTATCTTGCTGGTGCTCAGTAGGGAGTGACCGTTCCCACTTTTGGGAATGAACCGGTTTTGGGGATTCCCTGAAAGGAAACATAGGAGATGATTTTTCTCGGGGTCATTCCATTTCTCATTCCCTGCTTCTCGAACCAGCAAGCTATTTGGGTAAGTCAAGTTAATGACTAAAACCCTCACTAACCTTCATCTAGCCGAGTTTTGATTGTGGCTCACAAAACCATCCGTGCAAGAGATGGGACATTTTGCCATCTTTGACTCAACTCTATGGGCGTTTTTCCAAGACAGGCTCCATTCCAACTAAAATTTGCCATGATTTCCTTTGGGGGTCCCTTCAAAAACCAACCAAAACCTCCAGTTGCTTACTCTCAAAGACAGTAAGATACAAAAACAAACTTCTTCCAGAAGTGACAGATGCAAGATTCCCTTTACTATCCACCGGGGGAACAAACACATATTCATTTCAGCAAGTGGAAGAAGCTTGCGGTCCATTTGGCGTGGCCAAATCGTTCTTGGCGCCCGCGCTGTTGTCCTTAGTCGATGGGCCCCAGAGGTACCGAGCCAGCTGCTTTAGGGTTGGGAAGCCAAATGGAAAACATCCCCATTTGGCCGTGGCTCAAAAAACCGCTACCCATAATGGCGCAAACCCTGGTAAGTGGAAACATGGACCAAAACCTGCGGTTTGCCCCGTGGTTTAGTTTTGAGCCACACCCATTTGGAACATGGGGATCCCTACGGGACGCACCCAGATTTCCCCCAAAGGAAGCTCATTTGACAGAGTGGACGTGCCTGACGAAAGACTAAGGCGAGCTACAGCAACACTGTACGCCGGAAATCCCATGGCCGGTTCCTCTATTGCCCCGCGGGTTCGCTGAGAATCTGCGTCTCAACTTTGTGGTCAACATTCTGCTTTCCGCCAAACTGCCTATCAAATGCCAGGAGTTCCGCGCATGCCTTCCGAGGGGGTTCCACAGTCCTCCTCAAACTAGCAGGCCATTTCCTCAAATGGTTGGTGTCCGTTTGGTTTCCCGTTACTCCAGAGTCTGTCAGCATTCAACCAAGTGTCACAAAGCAAAAAAGTAAGGCCATAGCTTAATGGTGGGCCACTGTATGGGTTGAATGTGTGGCTTGACAAGGTCATGAAGGATGACAGTGTTTGCGTGGAGCCAGCCCATGAGCGCAAAAAATATGTGCCTACAAGAAGCACATTTTTCCGGTCAGCAGAATACAAAGACAAAAGGGGTTGTCTCAAAATAGGGAGCCCCTAAAATAGCTAGACAGGGATTACTGGGGGGCATAGTTAACTCCTAATCGCATCCATCCTTCTGCTTCCCCCTAAATGGTGGGTGGGGTTCCAAAAGGAAAAAGGGTTCAAAGCCCCAGTCTCCGCCAATCCAAACCAGGCTAGGAACGAGGTGATCTGCAGAACATCGACCATCAAACATTCGAACCCACAGCCAAGTTAAGCTGCTACCGCGGCGCATTTTCAGTGAGTTCAATCTCTGCGGAGAACACGCCGGCCTCGAGCAATGCGCATCGCCACACTAAAAGTAACACACGTAGGCACAATCCAACAAACAAACTGACCAACCAGCCTGCCAACCAACCAGCCAGTCAACCAACCAGCCAGTCAACCAACCAGGAGCAGGCAAGCAAGCAGACAAGCAAGCAACCAACCAAGCAAGCAGGCAAGATGAGCACAAGCAAAGGTTCACCGTCATCAGCATCATCATTATGCTGCTCATCATCATGCTCGTGATCCTCATGGTGATCATCAAACTAGGTTGATCCTGCCAGTAGCTTGTCTCGTCGTCCTCTATCTGTTGATATACGCCCAAGCATCAAGAGACGACTTGGCTTGGCTTGTGCCCCAGTGCTCTTTGACATTGCAGGCTTGAAGTTTGTTGATGCGCCACACGCGCACCATCTGACACAGCGCGTCGGAGTTAGTCTGCCAATGAATGGGAGCACCTCATTGGCAATGCGTGAACAGAAATTGTCGCAAACATACTGGGAATCACTAAAGATGACACCAGATTAGGAGGCAATCGCTGACGCTGCAACACGTCGGCCAACTGCTGCAGCCTCTCCTCTCTTGCACGTGTAACATCTTGCGCGATTGCCCAACCTGCCCTACGGGCGTTGAGTATACAAATCCCATCTGTGTAAGACCGATATTCATCAACGTCCTCATGCAGTTAC